GGTCCGGGTTCGATTCCCGGTGCTGCCAGATTTTCTGAGAAGTAGTGGGTGTGAAACGTGGTCCACTCAGCCTCGTGATGATAATTGAGGAGCTATTTCAAGGAAATAGCGGCTCCGGTCTAGAAACCCGAAATTATCGACCGTGGGGATTCATTGCGCTGACCATACGACACCCTCTATCCGCTATAGTTGGCACTAACTTCGCTGGCAAGCGACGGTCGCTCGGTCGGTATAGTTTGTTAATCAGTTACGACTGCTTCTCTTTCCCTCTTATACTGACAACAGTACGATTAATTTCTGGCGACGTACTAGTTTGAAGCATGAAGTTCGCTTTAAATAATATTTAAAAATGCAATTCCCACCTCACAAGAAACTCACTGCTTCTGCTACAAAGACCGATCAATTAATCGCTATTTATTGTGAGAATCATGCGACACTCATACTATTATTATGACCACTATTCAGACTATTTTAATTTTACACTAGGTTGCACACATTGTAACCACTGTGCTCTAAGTATTGTTACATTTCCTCTCGTTCATAATTTTCAGTTGCGAAGTTTCGGCGTGGGTAATTATGACGTCTCTCCCATTCCAATACCATGTAAAGGCGTTAATAGTTATGTCGTAAGTAAACGTGTATAAACGTTCTCGTAATAATTAAATTTGCAGACTTATTTGTGCTCTATAATGTGAGGCGAAATAGCGATGCTGGGATTACCTGCTACATGAGAGTACAGATTATGAAACTTGTCATTACATAATTTTATGCTACAGCATCCTGTTGTTTGCTTGGATATGTTACACAGTTTTCTCAACCCTCCCTTTGCTTTCTCTCTTAGATCCAAATACTGTCCGCGCCGGTTTGTTCCCCAAATCCCGAATCTTATGTTCCTCCCCTAGAATGAGAGGTCTCATGACTTACTTGCTTCTTTACATATGGAGCTGAGCCCTTTTTGAGGAGAAGTCAAATCTGCAGCTACTCAAGAATTTGAGGGGCTATGCTACAAGCCGGAAGGTCGCGGGTTCAAATCCCAATGAGATCATTGGACTTTTCGATTGACCTAATCCTTCCAGCAGCACTATGGCCCTGGGGTCGACTCAGCCTCTAACAGAAATGAGTACCAGGAATTAATTAAATAATTTTCTTGGGGAATAAAGCGCGGGCGGCGCGTAAGGCTGACAATCTTTGAGCCGATTGTCTAGATAATGTGAGACCCTCAGCGTCTCAAAACCCTATGGGCCTCCACGGCCTGTTACAAGGATAGCTTTACTTTTTTTATTTACTCAAGAATTTCCCAGCATTTTATGGAACCCGAAGGTTCATTACAATGTTCACAAGAGCCCTCCATTGGTCCATATCGTGAGCCACATGAATCCAATCAATACCATCCCATCCTATCTCTCTTAGGTCCATTTTAATATTGCCCACCCACCTACGCCTTGGTCTACCCAGTGGTCTCTTTCTTTCTGACTTTCTCACCAATATCCTCTTCTCCACCGTTCTTGCTATGTGCCCTGCCCACCCCATCCTCCTTGACTTGATCATTCTAATTGTACTTGTAGAACAGTACAAGGTATGAAGGTCCTCATTATGCAGTTTTCTCCAAACTCTTGTCACTTCATCCCTCTTCGGTCCTAATATTCTCCTCAACACCCTGTTCTCAAACACTTTCAGTCTATGTTCCTCCCTTAATGTCAGAGACAAAGTTTCACACCCATACATAACCACAGGCAAAATTATAGTTTTGTATATTCTAATTTTTATGTTTTTGGACAGCAGACGAGAAGACAAAAGGTTCTGTACTGCATGGTAGCAAGCATTACCCGAGCTCAGTCTCTTAATTTCCTCCCGAATCAGGTTTTAATTTGCTATCGTCGTTCCCAAATATCTGAACTATGCCACATTTTCAAAACACAAAAAATCCTGAAACTGTTGAGTAGAGGCTGGAAGACAGAGGAGTCTGTACTGATACGTTCCTCGAATTTAATCCACTCTTCCTGGCTCTAATTTTGATTTATTGCTGTAGCCCCAAAATATTTGCATTTAGCCACATTTTGAAGTATTTATTACTAATCTTTATATTATGATTTTGTCACAGCATTCTGGTGACAAGAGATATTCATATACAGTAACTCCTTGTTATAACGAACTGATTTGGAGTGGGGTCCATTAACTGCAAATCCTGGTTAGGTCCTCAGCATCTCAGAAACATTCACAATTACACACAGTTAAATCCTGATTCGTTATAATGAAGGTTTACTGTACCGAAGTACCAACTGTACCAACATCCTGACTACCGTCTGATAGAATTTCTATTTTTTCTCTGTGGTATTTGTTTTAGTCAATAAATTAACGTTGCTGCCATGGCAATGTGTTGTTTTCGAGGCAACTTTTGCTTTGTCAGATATTTTAACAGATCGATTTCTTCCCTCGTTGCTGTAAATGGAGCTTCATCTTACATAGCGTCGAGTGATACTAGTGGGTAATGAGTTTGGTGTGGAAGGAAGTGGCCGTGGCCTAATTTGATGTAATGGGGCTTTCCTTGTCATTTGGAACCGTGGACCGCTCAGTGAAGAATGAGCGCTACCCCCTCCATGTTCGGTAATGGTGTATGAAGTGTAGATTGTGTATAGTGTGCAAAGAAGGGACCCTGCATGTGAGATGGAGATCCTGACGGCTGTGACTAAGGGCGAGGGAACACCAAGGAAACTGGCAACCGCAACGCAACCGCAATTTCGGAGAACTTTTATCAGCCTGAGTTGAACAAATGTTACGGATTAGAGCAGCGCAAATTGAGGAAACGGCAACGCAGTTTTCTCAATTTGCACTGCTCCATTCAGTAACGTGTTCAGGGCCGCGCCATAGCTCAAGCGGTTAGTCGCTGGCTTCCCACCGCGGCGGCNAAAAGAGATTGCCAGCTTCTAGGATTGGACACCATGTAGTCTGGTAGATGGTTACACACATTTCTCATATTAACCTGCCTCCAAAACATATTTGAGATTGCGTCATCGCCAGATAGTGACAGTTACATCATCATTACAGAGTTGCTAGCTTCTGTTTTCAGGATATGAGGGGAACAGAAGTCGCCATACCGGATATCTTATTAAACGCACGGGTCTTTTCTGCCGGAAGGTTGCCTGCTCAAGGCATGACACCCTAGGAGACGGTCATCATATGGTCAGTGACGTGAAACACTGAGATCTTGGGAGATCTTAATTCTCAACAGTGAATTCACTAGGGGTGTTTAATAGAAAACCACTGAAACCTGTGGGTTCTGGAATAGGCAGACGTGTTGTGGTCCGGATTGAAGTAACCGAAAAGGATTACAAAGGACGGACAAGCATGTGACAGCTGTGGAGCTGTTCACCTGTAGGATAACGCGTACCGAGGAAAAGCCTACATTACAGGCGCTAAAGTGTAACGTCATTGGCCACTCTCACAAAGACCCGTGCGCTTGTCCATCACAAAGGATCCCTTCCCTGTGCCATCCGTTCTGAGGTGTGCTCAACCCGTTTCGAAATGTACGCATAGCGTAACAAATTTGGTACTTTCATTCGCATTCGTTTAGTTATGTCGAAAATTTATAACGTGCCGAAAGCCAGCATTTGAAATAAAACGGTTTGACTGCGATAAATGGTTAGCGAATCGCGCCTCAGATGTGCATAGAAATGCATATGAAATGTCCTTTTATTGTACGATTTTAATAAAAATTGTAATTGTCAACAAGTGTTAGTGAAACTCCCCAGTTTTGCAAGAAATACATGCTGCGGACGGGCAGACAGACATCGGGAGGATATTATGTGAATTTTTATGACTTGTCATTGAGAACACGCCAAGAACATACCCACACGTTGGCCCTGAAGTCTGTAGGCTCGATAACGGAAAATGATGGTCAGCTAATGTAGATACAGAATTACTGCGTGATTCTTTCGTACATATATTTTTTTCCCCTTGGCACTACAGCCCCAGCGGGCCTAGGCCTACATCCATGAACTTCTCCGTTCACTTCGGTTTTTCTAGATCTTACACATTCGGTAGGACTCCTTGGTCGGGTGATCAGCTCGTCACAAGGCCTCTACCTGTACACAAATACAGAAAAACGCACACACACAAACTAAACATCCATGCCCTGAGTGGAATTCGAACCCACAATCTCGGTTTCCAAGCGAGCGAAGACAGTACGTGCCTTAGACCGCTCGGCTACCGTGACTGGCCTTTCGTACATATAGGATACGAAAATCACAGTTAATCTGTTACAGCGTTATTAATTTAACCGTTGCCTATTTAGGAGGTACTCGATTCGAATCTCTTCCGGGACATTGGTTATCCTCCGTCCTTCAGGATAGTACCTCGAACAGGCCACGACTGCTTCCTTCCAAATCTTTTCCAAATAGTCAGTGATCCTATCTTTCGACGCCATACAGGTAATGCAGGTGCAGACTTTGTCGTAACATACGAAACCACTGTAGGAGAAGGCAAAATGGACGTGTAAATCGATTTTCTGTTAAATAAAATTCCTGCCCAATGTACTTCAGGAATATTCTTGGGGGTAAAGAGCGGCCGGCGTGTAGGGCTGACAACCTTGCCGCCATCTATGAGCCGATTGTCGGAAAATGTGGGAATCTCAACATCTCACAACGCAATGGTCCTCCACGGCCTGTTACAGGGATAGCTTTACTTACTTTACAGCGTTACCTTTACGTAACATTGATGCGTCACTGTTCACAAATATTCCGCTCTTACTTCTCTGTATGGTATTATGCAAGCAGGGAGGGATATTATAATTTTTCTTATGGAGGGACTGAGAAAACTCTTCGCTGTCGCCCTGCTTCTGAACGCTCCTAGCGAGGAAGGAAAAATCGATGTACCTGAACATCTCTGTCTCTGGGCCGCCATGTCGCTTCCCATAACCGTCACGTACTAGGTAGGCTGTTCCTTGTTGCCTACAGAAGCCCGAGAGAAAGTGATCGCCCCTGTCACCGTGAGTGATCCGCATAATGCCCGAGATGTTTGGTTTGCCTGCTTGCCAGGGGTTGACAACATCCGACATGGTTACGTTACTTGGTAGACGTGTGGTCCAGGTGTGGATAGGTTAGTCAGTAAAGTGTTGTAAGTACGGATCGGGCGATTGGGGTTCAAATCCCCGCTAGGGAAGGATTTTGCCCCTTATTACCTTGTCCGGACATGCTCTGGGGCTCATCCAAACAGTGTGGAGACTGTTCTTTCTACTGGCATCAGCGACAGGAGGGTGTTATTCTTTATATACGAATTCCGGGGTTAAGATTTCGTGGAGCTATGCCTCTGTTCATACTCCTTCGTGGCATGGTGTTCAGGCAGTGATAATTTTTATAGTCTATTTGTGGTTGCGTCCTGAAAATTTCATGGCTTCAGCTTGGATTCGGGTAATATTATTGGCTGAAACACTATAAATAACCGTGACTTACAGAAAGATTAGCTTGTGATAAAGGGAGGTATTTCCATATTTCCGTGAATGTAGTTCATACCGGATACATAACTGAAGAATCTACTAGACAGAATTTATATACACTGGTCACAAAAACAGTTGGTAATAATACTTATACTCTGTTAGTATTTTTAATTCTGTTCTGATGAACCATTATCAGGTGGATAGTCGATGCCTTAATTACAAGAATAACAGCTGATTTTGCAGTAGGTTAATTGATATTATCTAATGGTGGATCTATCATTAAATTTATAATATACTGAAAGTGTTTAGTATGATTATAAAATAACTGAAGTAGAAAAATGGTTTTACTACTGAAGTTAATGTAGAAAATTAGTGGAATAGTAGTATTGAATTTTAGTCTTCTGATTCTTCTGTATATAAGAAATTACGAAATTGTCAGATCATTACAAAATTTAAAAGAAGACTGTTGAAAGTTTAAACATTCATCACACTGTAGTCCAGGAATATCACTTTGACGTGCCCTGGATGCTCTTTTAGTACCTGAATTGATTTACTGCTGATGTGGAGGTATTGCTTGTGCAGAAATGGGACTTCCGGTGCTTCGGTGCTGTTGATAATAATCCCACGTTGAAGTGTGTCTGTGGAAGAGCTGGCAGTATTCTTGTGTTCATAGACGTATGGTGTATGGATATTCCAGTTGACAGTATGTCTGGGCTAGATGAGGTGTGCACAACTTCACCCAGTGCATAAAATGTTTTATATAACAGTAGTCAGTCACTGTATTCAGAAAGTGCCTGGTAAATGTTCATAACATTTATATGCTCTTTCAGTTTAACCATTCAGAATTGAAGTGTGCATTATGTGGAGGATTTATTAAGCTTAAGGCTTGAAATTCCTGTTTAAAAACTAAGTTGTCTGTCTCACAAGAACACTGCATCTTCATTACAAAGACCAATCAGCTAATGCTGTTTAGGGAAAGAATCACTGTTTATTGTGGGAAATGTACAAAATAGATTAATACACATTGTGGACAGAATGTAGAGTTCTTTAATGTAAGGGAGGTGGTACATATAGAATTACATTTCTTTAAAGGGTTACATTCAGGTGATTACAGTATGTAGAAGCAATAATAAAATTAATTACAGTAAGCAGATTTGTGGAGGAATGTGTATAGGATATTGGTGGGAAAGCAAGAAGGAGAGAGACTACAGGGAAGACCAAGGCGTAGGTGGGTGGACAGTATTAGAATGGATCTTAGAGAGATAGGATGGGATGGTATGGATTAGATATATCTGGCTCAGGATAGGGACCAGTGGAGGGCTCTTGTGAACATTGTAATGAACCTTCGGGTTCCATAAAATGCTGGGAAATTCTTGAGTAGCTGCAGAATTTGCGGCTCCTCCAGAAGGGCTCAGGTCCCTGAGTAAGTAAGTAAGTAAGCACATTTGTATATATGCATTGAAAGCACTGGCAAGTACAGTTATTAGAAGCAGTGGGCAAAATGTGACAGATCTAGTTCTTGCAGTATGTTAAAGTGTTTGGGTGTGATTTTCAGACAGTGGCAGCGGGCTGGATGGAGCACATGAAGCCCGTGACCATGGTGGTGATGATGATGATGATGTGAGGGAGAAATGTATGCTGCTCCTGAAAGAACTGGTATTACAGGCTGATGAGGTAACTGAGCAGAGGCGAGATGGTGTACGGCAGTTGGAGGGTGGTTCATTGTGGTGCAGGCTGCCATTCAGCAAGGTGTCTGAAGCCTTGAAATTTTGTAAGAGCAGTACCAACAGTGCCTTGGCGAACAACAAGCAGTCCAACACAAAGCAATACCCATCATGTGACAACCATTGCTCAGCCACAGATGAATCAAATTTGATTCAGGGCCCAGCAGATGACTGCCGAATGAAAGAAACGGGTGCTTCCTCCAGCGTTCTGCTCTTGTACCCCTCTCCTCCTGACAGCTTTGCTGAAGAATCCACCCCACCATCTGTGTTCCAAGGTCACAAGACCATGACTATTGAGCCGTCACTGCCAGGTACTCCTGATGATAGTTCAGAAGATTCGCCTTTGGGGGAAGGTGCTGTTACCCTATTTACACCTTCTTCTACTAAAGTCCTAGGTTCTCCTTCTATTGCATCTGTAACCCCCTCTTCTTCAGACACTGTCCTAGATCGCTTTTGTATGCCTGCTTATGCTAAAGCACCTTGCTCCAGTTCCTTATTTCAGGAAGGCCACAAACATGACCCAGCAGGTCCATTAGTAAAGGCTGAACAGAAGCCACTGTGCCCTTCCACCACCGCAACATTGCCTGCGCCACAGCGATTCTTATTTCAGTTGGAGCCTGTACATCAGATAAAAATGTCTGATGGGCAGAAGCTGTTTGCATGTGACATATGCTCAAGTGTGTACCAACGTTGTTTCAGCCTAAAAAGACACTACTTGCGATCTCATATCAATCATCGGTACCTTACCGAGCGTGATATCTCCAACTGTGGTATCGTTGTTAGTGAGCGACTTGCCAAAGAAAACCCAACAGTTCCATCTGTCGAAAAGAGAAATGTTGCATTGGGCAAGGACGTGGATACAGTGCAAGAATCTCGTGAGAGTGAAATTATGGCAAATGACATTATGAACTCCAGCAGTGACAAATGCTCAAAAGTAAATCCAGTAGTAGAAAATTGTGTGACTTTCCCAAATTTATACCGCTGTCATTTGTGCAGCATCTGCTTTGATACTAAGGATGAACTGAAATATCATCTATCCACCCACAAGCCTGCTTCATTAGCTAGCAAGGAAAAAACTGCTTCTGACCCCATGAATGGTAACCAGCAAGCACATAGCAAATCACGTCCAGATCTCAAAAAAGGGAGTAAAGAAAGGGACAGGTTACTGTCTGCCAGCAGCCAGGAGCTGTCTTCTTTTGTGCAGGTTTCTCTTAATTATGATCATTTGATGTCTGACTCAGTGGTAGGACCATCAAGACAGGTAGGATTCAGTCACATTTCATCAGTTGCTTTACCTGATCAGTCAATGCCTGCAACACCAAGTCATTCACCAAAGTGGGTAACATCTAGCTTGCAAAAATTAACAGCTAGCCATTCATCAAAATTTGCAGTGCCTGGCCAGTCATCAAAGACCTCAAAATCTTCGAAACATGTAACATCTAACCGTTCTTCTAAACATAACATATCCAGCCATTCATTTAAACCTGTATCATCTGTGCATTTATCTATACCCTCTTTGTCTGACCATTCATCAAAGCTTTCTTCACCTGGTCATTTATTAAAACAACCACTCGTTCACCATTCTTCAAGTTTTTCATCACCTGAGTTCATTTCTTCAGCAATCACAAAGCTTACAATCCCTGACCAATTGGTAAGGCCTGTGATGTCTAGTGAGCGTCATACAACCATTAGTCATTTTCCAAAACCTACATTAAATGAGGGATTATTGAAATATTCCTCATCTTCAGAGCGAGGTCAACATTTATGTCTGTACTGTGACAAGTCATTCTCCACTCTGACTATGCAGAAACGTCATGTGGCCCGGATTCATCCTCATGCACAGCTATCCTCACAGAGCAAGACATCACACCATAAATGTGCTTACTGCACCAAACCGGGTGGTACTTTCAGAGAGTTACCTCATCTTGTTCAGCACCTGCTTGCCACCCATCCAGACCTGTATCATGCTTGTACTACCTGCGAACTCAGGTTTGATTGTAAGGATGCTCTTGATTGTCACAAAATCGCTGTTCATCACGGCGACTACAGGTGGAACTCAGTTTGCACAGCTTTACCTTTGCCTGCATTATCACACTCTGTGACACTGGATGTCAGCGTTGCAGGAAAATCATCTCAGTCTTCTCCAGAGTTGTGTCGTGGGAGCAAGGTGAAAAAGTCTAGTGCAGGGGGTGTGGATTTATTGGGATCAGATGGACAGTTCCTGTACACCTGCAACGTGTGTCGTGAAGTGTTCAATGATTATGTTGCAAAGTGTCGTCATCACCGACAGGTTCACAAAGGAAATCGAAGTCAAAATTTGGTTGCTAGAGGTGTCAAGAGCCCCACTTCAGGGTCAGATAGCAAGAGTCAAGGCCATTTTGTGGTCCTTGAAAAGGGGTCAGTGGACCAAATTCAAGATACAACAAATACTGAAGGTTGTGCAGATGAACAGGAGGTGAAGTCAGACATTCTATGCATAAAATCTGTAAATTCTAATATATGCAGGGAGCCTGAGAGTGACATTAAAACAGACATTGAATTGTCATCTAAGAGTCACAGCCTTAAGATAAAGGACCCTGCTTCAGAAACAGTAAGGGAAATTCACCAAGCCAATAATCTGAGTGAAAACTCAGAAGCAGAAAAGCCAAAGATTCTAACTGTTAATGTTGCCAAGAGCATGTCTGAAGCTGTTGCTCTTGCCCCTTTCACTTCTGTATCTTCAGGGGAAGAAATGGCCAGTTCTCCAAGATCTCCACATCTTCCTCCTGAGTCCACCTTTCTTGCTAACAGCATAGAGCAAGTAGATGATATCTCCAGTAGCGGAAATAAGTGTATTTCTGACTCCTTGGAGATTAGTGACAGTGTTGTATGTACTGGAAATAAAATTGGTTCTTGTGCAAATAGTTGTGACCTCACAATTCAAATGGCGGAGTGTAGTAGTGATGTTTTAGCAGGAGAAAATGATAATTTTGTTCAGAAAAGTGGTTCAGGCTTTCATGTATTTGGGACTGCTGATACTAAAACCACAGATGACAGTGTTATAAGTAAGGACTATGTTTCAAAAAGTTCTTTAAAGTCTATGTTTGATGACATTTCAGACCAATCAGGGGATAGTGTTGATATCAGTGTGACTGGAACTTCAATGTGTTTAGAGCTAGGTTCTGAAATTTCTCTGGTTGATGCTTCGGACCATGTGGAGACAATTTCAGAGACTAAATCTGTGGGTTGTAAGTTAGTAGTTGACTCCAGCTTAGGATATGAGTGTTCACCAGAGGTTGGAACACCTGAGTCTTTAGTAGACAGTTCTGATCTTCCAGTAGCTGGTACGTTATGCCATTCTACAGCTTCTTTGGAATCTTTATTGGCAGGAACCCCAGCTTCACATGGAACGAATTCTACGTCTTTGGAGTCTGAATGTTCCTCATCTGGAATTTCAGACTCTTTGAAAGCATGTTCTGATGTATTACAGTCAGCAAGGCCAGACTCCATGGATAATAACTCTTTAACAAAAACTAAAAATTATGCTATGGCACCAGAATGTGTGAAGGAAAGCTCTACATGTGACCGAACCAAGATTTCAGTTGTCACAGAAGAAAGTTGTGGTACTCGGTTAGACATAAATTGTACTAGGAAAATCCCTGAGATATCAGGTCATCTAGTAGCAAAGTCTAGATCTTCTCCAGGTGAAACCTTTTCAGATTGTACAGAAACTGACTGTAAACCTGCACCTGACGTAACTTCAAATTCTTTGATAGAAATTTCTGGAACAGCGTTAACTAAAACATCAGATTTTCTGGAAACCAACGCTAAATCTTCATTAGGTAAAATTTCAGATAATATTGCACCTGTGATATATGACAGTAAAGATCCTGTAAACTCTCCTGTAGGCATAATTTTAAATTCTTTGGAGCCTTCATTGGATCAGTCTTCAAATCCTAAGACTGCAGAACTCCCAGAAGGATCATCTACTCTTCTGTTAAGTCATTGTTCAAACTTTACAGAAGAGATCTCAAAACATCTGCTCACTAATGACTTGGATGCATTGGAAGAAAATGGTAAACTGTCTTCAAACTCCACTGAAGAATGTTTAAAATCTGCATTCGCTGATACCTTGCATTCCATTGAGCAGACCTCTAATCATTCGTGTATGGAGGAAGACATTTCTAATCTTTCACCAGTTGAAGAAAGCTCTAATCCTTCCGAAATCAAGATTTCAAATTCTATGGAAGTATATTCTGATCAAAAGTTTTTGGATCCAAGAGACACAGAGAACTGTAAATTGTCATTAGATGTTGAAGATGGTGTAGAAGGAACGTGTACACCTTCACTGGTTGAAACTTCAAGTACTGTAGAAGAAAGTTTAGGTTCTCTGCAGGTAGCTTCAGGCAAACCTCTGATAGGTACAAAGAGATATGAAATTTCTTTAACTAAGAGCATTGATTTTCTTGATGAAAGTTTGAAAACTGAATTGACTTCAGATTCTATGGATGAAAACATTCAGTCTCCTTTAATTGAAAGTTTAGAAGATATCTCACAACCTTTATTAACAGAAAGTTTGGATTCTATGGTGGAAAACACAAAATCTGCATCTACAGAAGGTTTGGATTCTATGGTGGAAAACTCAAAATCTGCATCTATAGAAGGTTTGGATTCTATGATGGAAAACTCAAAATCTTCATCTGTCAAAGGCTTAGATTCTGTGAAGGAACAGACTTCATCAACAGAAATTCCAGATCTCAGCATGGAGAATTCAGAATCAACAGAAAGGTCAAATTCCATGGTGGAAAATTTAAAATCTGTGTTAATGGAGAGTTCATATATGGAAGAAAACTCAAAATCCGTTTCAATAGAAAATTTAGAATCTATGGAGGAAAGTTCAGAATCTTTAGATTCTGTAGAGGAAGGATCAGAGTCTGTATCATTGAAGGGTTTTGATTCTGTGAAAGAAAGTCACAAACCTGCATCGACAGAAAGTTTGAATTGTTTAGCTTCAGATTATAAACCTGCAGTAACAGAAGGTTCTGAATTTATGGGGGAGAATTTTAAGAATGCCATATGTGAGAATTTAGAATTTTTGGAAGAAAATCCACAGTGTTTGTTGCCAGAAAAAGTATGTTCCATGGAGACAGGCTCTAAAGAGCTGTTACATGAATCTTCAGATAATATAGACTTGTGTTCTGATGCTGTACCAGAGAGTTTAGATGCTATCAAAGCAGAGTTGAAACCTGCATTATCTGTAGCACAGAGTGGATGTGAACCTGTTTCAAGCCGCATCCTAAGAAGTAACTCCACACCTTTAATAAAGAGTTTTGACCCTGCAGAAGAAAATGACACTATCCCTCTACATGAGCGGTGGCTGCAAAGCAAAACTGAAGCTGCAGCAAACAGTCAAACTGCTGGAAGCAGTCGAGCGTTGCGGAGAAGCTCAGCACTTCCAGTGGCAAAACCAGTAGAACCTACAGCAGACGCAGATGATCATCCCAAAGGAGATAGTGATCGTGTCTTAAGGAGCAGTGCTGCTCTTAAAAGTGACGAGCCCACAGTTGATCAAGAAGTTACCTGCGATATGGATTCAGGGCCTTCGAAGGCCCGTTCGAAGTCTACTATGGCTGCAACACGTCGCACTCGTCTGCGTAAGTTCAGTCGGCGAGTGAGGGGAGAGCAAATGCAAGAAGAACGGCGCATGGATCCAGAGACACTGTTTTATTGCCGAATTGCAGGAAACATTCGGGACAACCTTCTACACCATTTGGATGGGAAGCTGGAACATGAGGTATCGGCAATGTCACAAGGTCCGAACAAGGCAGACCTTTCTCAGCCCCATACATCTGTCACTACAACAAATGAAGAGAAGCATAACCACCATGTTCACCATAAAGCACCATGGGAGAAATTTAACTTTCCTAAGAATTATGATGGCCGTTGTGGGGAGGGAGCAATATGTCTTGCATCATATATTAAGGATATGTCACACCTAGATATATCTACACAGCTTACAATGCGACAGAACTTGAAGCGCCTGAGTGCAGCCTCCAACACCAGCCGGAGTTCAGTAGATATACCAGTTGAATTTTCAAAGGATGATGTGATTAGCTTCTCTAGGGGATTATGCCTCAACGCTAAAGTGTGTGCAGACAGAAGGAGATCACTACGTTCTGCAACAAATCGTGGACGAGATGCATTGGCTGCAGCTCCAGGAGGTGCCGCATCGACCTTCACTGGCAGGTATAGAAATTGTACTCTTGTTTTCCCCCATACCACACAGCAGTTTAGAGCTATGACAGAGCCCAGGTTACCTCAATTTAGCCAATGTTTTGACCTAAGCACAGTTATGTAATTTCGAGAGTTGGATAACTCTTAATGCTTTAATACATATTTTCTTCTTCAATACATATTTTCTTCAATATATAATCTCAATCTCAGTCTACTTGAGTCAGTCACCCAAGTAATATTTGCTGAAAAAGTACAGTCTTCAAATCTGTGGGTTGCATAGCATTGAAGATTCGTGTTATGGGCTTTGAGGTTATGACACTGTGTAGTCTTGTAAGAGTGTACTTCTTCCGTAGACGTAGAAGTGCTACCCTGAAGACAGAGGTAGTATGTTCCTCCACTGTTGGTGCCCACCCTCCATGCAACACGTATCATAACCCAGAAGACCGCAAGATGCTGCCATGTTTTCTTCTTACTGGCACTAACTCTCATGTTTTTGTTTCATTGATCTGAACTTGAACATGGCATGTTTACAGTGTGTCCCTAAAACGTTGGTCCTCAGCTGATGATATGGCAGCAGCTGGATCTGTTGTGGAACTGAGTGGAGAGTGGGTACGGCCCCGGAGCTACATTTGCGCAGCGTGTGGGGTCATGTTTGATGATCTCTGGGATCTGGAGGACCATAAGTACAGCCAGCATCCAAATGTATGGTGCACACATTACGAGTTCGAGCAAGCAGCCCTCGAGCAGGTTACTGATACCAGGTACCATATCACTGTAGTTTGATTTTTATGGGTCTTTATAAAATAAACATGCTGTTTGCTTCAGAACAGTGGGAAAACAGTCTCCTCTGCGTGTTCTTCAACGTCTGAACTAATTAGAGGTGACTTTCCAGCTTCATGGCTTATCCACTGTATTTAAATGATCTCACATTAATAGTCACAGTTTAAATTACCTCCATTTAAGAGATTGCTCATTTAATGTTCAAGTACGTTGCTTCCAAAAGAACCTTAGTTAAGTGTTTCATAGTATACATGGTTGCATTGTTTTCATAGCAAGTCCCTGGGTGGAGGTATCTCATCAAAGAACTTAAGCCGTCGGTTCCTTTTGGTTCGTGAAGCTGCAGAAACCATTCCACTGCCAGTACTGAACTCTGAAGTGAAGTGTACTAAGTGTGAGAGAGGATTCAGCACATTGCCAGACCTACACAGGTAGGTACATCTGACATTGTCCGTAATCAGTAGGGTTTCAAGATTTTACATTTTAATGTATCAGGACATAATCAGTTCAAAGGAAGAAGGGAGAGAAGGAGACGTAAAAGAATAACTAAGCATGGAGTTCCAGATGAACATGTAAGCCTGCTTCCCCAGTGCATAGACTTACTGTCATTATACATTGATTGAAAGCACAGAAGAAAATGTTTATATTAATGAATACGATAGTCCTATTCTTTATAAAATCTAGGCACCACAGTAACCACTCATAACTAATAACCAGGGCCCAGATTTTGATGACCTGGAAATATTTAAAAAATTACCTATAAAATGACCAAAAAAATCCAGAAAAATTACCTAAAATATAACCCAAAAATGTAATATGCAGGACCCGGATTTTGATGACCCGAAAATATTAAAAAAACCTTACGTGCCGGCCACCCTTTCATGGCGCTCATTACTGATTACATTAAATTAAAAATTATGAGGTTGGGATGGCTTACAATGGCATAACATATCAGATTTTATGGAAATCAATCCATTTATTCAGAAGTTTGAAAGGTGGTGCTATCTCTGTCTCTCTCTCACACACACAGCATGATGATCTCATAAACTTACTTCTTTTCTTAATGAAGGTAGGCTAAAAATGTTTGTATTATTGGATTTATGTATGTAGCCCCTCAACGAACTATGCTACCACGTGACCCCAATATGATGACAGTATCATAGTGTTTAAATCTGTTTCAGACATATTTTGGAATGTGGGGGTGATACCACATGGATGTTGCTTCCAAGTCCTAGTTCAAGTGGACGTCGTGCTAGAAAGTGGCGTCCTTTTGGCAGCAGGCGACGGCGGCAGCAAGGCAGCCATCGCCGCGGAATGAAACGCAACATTCCGACCACACCAGTAAAGCAGTACTTCCGTGCTCGGCATCGCAGTATAGCAGGTGACAGTACGTGTAATAACTCTACAGTTACTGTGCCACCATCGACCCTATTTCGTATTTCGTATTGGGAGGGGGTGGGTTTCCCCATGCACTTAGACCAGTTATTGGTCCATTGTGCGTCCCCCTTTTAATTTCTACTGTCGCCATACCCTACTGGTAACAGTGCGTGCCATCAGCCCCCGTAGAGCCAACAAGGTTGGCCCCCGGTACCTTGATGCTTCCCCCATCCACCAGAGGCATTGCAGACTACTTGGGCGGGAAAGGGCCTGTAATTTAGCTCAAAGGTCTCCTAGAGACATGAGGTTCTTTTACGTGCCGCAAGTCTACGACACGGGACACACGGCTTAAAGTCCCTCCCGGAGGACTTGTTCCCTGAATTTTTCCGCCCTTAAAAATTCCACGACCTCCGCCGGGTTTGAACCCACGTACCTTGAGTCATGAGGTGGGAACGTTACCCCTAGACTACGGAGACTGCTACCATCGACCCTAAGTCACACAGTAAAAAATTAAGGCCGATGAGTGGAAGTCTTTGAATTTATTTGTGCTCCCAATTTTTTATATCCACAATTTTCAAAAAGTAAATTTGAACCGTAAGTTAAATCTTAGGATTACTGTTTTTCTGTACTATACTCAGTTCATTGTCCAGTATTCCAGTGTCTTGTAGGTCATTATATACTATTTAATATAAAGGACAGTAGGCTTATTTTGTCTTGTATGTTAATGTAGTAAACAGGCTGGTGTGGAGCAGTTACAGTGGCATTGGTAGGTGTGATTTTTCCTGTGGAGAAACGTCTGTGTCATAGGATGTTTTTTCTTGTATCTGCAGACTAAATTAGTTCATTAGGCTTTTCATCCCCTTGTAAGACCCTGGTTTTATGAAACCTGAAGGTTCCATGACCAATTGAAAATGAAGTTACAGAACTCTATCCTTACACAGTTCAGTCCATTACATATATTACAACATATTTTCCTGTGAATCATTTTAACATATCTCGCTCACCTCATCTTCTGTTCACATATGTATTTTCCTCATTCACATATCAACTCCTGACAGCAGTAAAAACAACAAACATTTATCACTTTATTAGAATCAGATAGGTCCTTAAGGGCCAAAGTATGTAAGGCCATATAAATAATTGGACTATTTATATTTAGTTGACATTGGATGGCTTGTCGTTCCAAGATTGTATCACCTTTTCGTTGCTGCAGGTGACACTATCCAGCGCATGTTAGCAAACTTGCCAGCAAAGCGATCAACACGGAGGGCGATCCAGTTCTCAGAGGATGAGATTAAGACACGAAGCCAAGGCACAATACACAGTGTAAGTACCATATTTTGGTGTGTAGTGGTGTGTATTAAGGTGGTTGCCATGTGTTTGCATTGCACTTAGCCGTGTTCTGTTTTCTCTCTTCCACAGAATCGCCTCTTAAGGAAGAGATATAAGGTATTGTGTCCTGATTTCTCAGTAGTAACTTTCCTTGGTGTGTGTTAAAATTCTGGACAGCAGAGTAGGAGTCTTATGTTGTTTTAGTTTCCTGCATGCTTTGTATCTGTTCAATAAAAAGCCTGTGTTTGGTAGCGATGTCAGTTATCTTGTTTGTTTCTTTATTTATGGTTAGTTCAGTGGCAGTCTTACTGTCTCAGATGATGTAGCATCAGTGCTAGGGCAATATGTGAATAATGAATTAAAATGGATGTGGAGGAAAATTATTGTAGCCTAATAAGAAGTACTATCCCAGGACTTTCATTGAGGGACTGAAGAAGACAGTGAAAAACATCAGCAGTCAGGATAGTCATTCCCCTTGCCAAGATTCAAATCAGGCACCTCCAAAATATAGTTGTAAAAATTACCACTTGAGTCAAGCTTCCTCAACCATATCAGCAAACACCTCAGGTTTTTGTGACAATGAAATTATTTTGTGTCCAAGATAAGAATTAACCTCTCATCTGTAACGATTGAACATGCTTAATTTTTTAATGATATTGTCACTATCAAGACTGCTGTGTTTGTGCCCAATTTTGTCGCATGGTTTTTCCTTGCCGCAGTTGTTAGACTCGCTCAAGTAGATTCTAAAGTGTCAAAAAACCGAGTAATCCCAAGACCCACTCAAAGCTTTGTGGTTTTATTATAGTAAGTTGACTATATTTACATGATACTTAACTGAATTGTTTAATATCTTTTAAAATGTCAGGTGGTTTAGAGCTATATTAGTTCATATTTTGGTCACAATGTGGTACAGGAATAGTAACCACATGTACGTACCATATGTTTTCCATCTCTTACATCATGGTGATTTTTATTAAGTAAGATATTTTGGAATTCTTTCAGGAAACAGATTCTTGTGTCAGTTTTAGTAGCAGTGGTAGTAACATATGAGTGGCTCCTCCTGTAGCAACTTTAAAACAATGGCAGAAAATTAAATACTGGGGGATTTGTGACAGAATTTTCTGATGTAACAATGTATGGATTACAAGTCTAATGTACATGAAATTCTTTTGAATGTGTGTTGAAACTGGTGTGGTTGATTTGTGTGAGTTGTATGTGTTTTGATTGCCATATCAAGTCATTTTATGTATAGCATTTCTCTTCATAATCGGAAGAAATGTGCTCTTGAAAACATATCTTATATCTTGAAAATCCCATAATGTGAATCCTATATATCAGGCATGTCCAGTGCGTCAATTGCGGATGATTTTTGGTCGATCTCACAGGCCTGTAGGGAAATTATATGTGAAAAGCATGTAAATTCACTTGTAATATATGATTATATTCAGATTCTGAAGGGAAAATACGTGTTAGTCATTCCTATTTTACTGTTCTTAATGAACAAGGTAAGTCTGTACTTTCAATATATGTTGCTTTTACAACAAACATCATGTGTCTTGTTATTTTTACCAATATTTTTGCTTAAAGCGAGGTATGATGATAGGAGGGGGTGGTAGATCACTGGCAGTTTTGACACTAAAACGTCGATCACAACCTGTTTGAAGTTGGACATGCCTGCTATATACCAATATAGAAAATGGAAGTATTTGATGATTTGGCAGTGATAATCAACATAAAAAATTATATCTGTAAAATAAATTTGTTCAGAATGGTATATATTGAGACCAAGCTACAAACTTTGCTTTTTATTTTTGCTGTAGAGGTAACCCTCACATTATTTTTGGGTTATCTAAAAGTTTGAACAGTTACAACCATTGGTTGGAAGGAAGACTTGCAACTTTTCTTTGGGATGCTTATGATGAACACTGCTAACTCTTTATCACCCCTAGTATTCAGATTAAAACTGCAGTTTGCCAGTACTTCATCATTTAATTCAACAAAGATTCATCCAGTCATTGCACACTCCACCATCTTGGCAAGGCATCCATTTTATTTTGACATTTAATTTTTTACATGGCGTCTGGGTGCAAAATGTTGGAACTACTAAGCGCCCATGATATCTACAACATTCAGTGAAACAAAAAGATTATGTCTAAGACAAAGGATTGAAATATTATGGGAACATTACATCAGGATGAATTTCGGGGAGCTAGTCCTTTGTGTGTTAGAATGCTCTATCCACTATATCCCTCCATCCTTTTCACAGAGGATAAATAAGTTGGATTTCAGTTCCTTGTTGCTTTAAAACTGAAAGTCTGTTATCCTGCTGTAACACACACCAAGAGGATAGTTGAATTTAGGTGGCTGGTGTTTTTAAGAGTGTACCTCATGTGGAGATGCAACTGGACACGCTGAATTAAAAGTATGAAAACGTGGTATTTGTTGTGCCACTACATGGGCATGTATTGCTGCCACTAAAGTGTAATGAGGCCTTATCTCCAGAGTAACTAAAAAATTATATATTGATAGATTCTGAGGTTATTCGATAATGGCATTTTAACTTTATTGGCCATATAATGTCAAAATTGGTACATCTCTACATTGAGTTAACATGCATATGCACTGACCAAAAGCATTATTCCAGCGTCTGTTTGAAGAAAGTAAGGGAAACCTTGAAAATCTTTAGGATAGATAGCCAGTCTTGATATTTTAACTTAGGCCTTTTGAACAGGAAGTAGAAATGCTGATCACTTGGCCATGACATTCATTGTCTCTGATACAGTTGTTAAAATATATTCTGAAATGTGAATGCATATATGGCCTGAATTTCAGGGAAGCGCAGATCTCCATTGGATGCCAATTAACAAGGCACCAAATCGGCTTGCCACATTTCATACTTTTGGTTGTGGGGCAGCAGATGAATTCAGTTGCATTTGGTGTCGGTACTGGGCCTGTTAGTAGGTGCAAATATGCATGCAGCACCTACCAGTTGGAACAGTAGGCCTTACAGTAGTGTGTGTATATATGTGTATATATATATATATAAATAGTGCTGTATTATGTAGACACAACCCTGTTAATATTATGAACTAATGGTATGTGACACCACACAGTTTGAAGGGGTGGCACCAGAATTTTGGGGGAACCAGCTTAAGAACCTTGAAGATTGAAGCATCAGGTTCCTCTGAAATGATTCTTGTTTACCAGACTACATGGTGGAACATCCCAGAAGACTGCAGTCTTCTTGCCCAGTCTTACTTGCATTTTTTTCAATCTTTGGAGTTCATGTTTCAGATGATAGCAGCCATTTCAAGTTTATTGTCAACTTGTTAGCACTGTAGTGATAAACTGAACCCAGTCACGGCCAGAAATAAATGTTGCATCATGAGATCATAAGATCGTAATAGACAAGTCTCCTGTCGACTTGCATTGCTTACTAATACTTGGCTCTACAGCCCTGCAAGAACCTTTCACAGGTGCCCATTCTTCTGTATTTTTTTAAAATTGCCTCGATTTCTTCACTTTCGGCACCTATAATTAATTCTCAACATCTTCCAGTCATCTTAGTCTGGGCCTTCCCAAATTTCTAATTCCACTTCTGCTGTCTTGAATAAATTTAGCACGTTCCAAGGAATGTAACTCATTGGCTTATTATTTTCTAGTTATTTGTATCATTTTCTGAGATGAGGTTGTTAGTCTCACCTGATCTCCAAGCTGGGGAACCAGGGGATACTGTTCATCTGGCCCTACCCTTTGACCCGTCTACCATGGTTAATGCAGGGTGTTATGATCCTGCTGGCATAACTGTCCAGGAGATGAGGGCATCTAAATCCTCCCTTCCCCACAACATTAAGGTAGTAGGAGTGTCACCTGATTCTCAAACGAACTGTACTGACTCGTATCCTCATCCAGGTGCAAGTTTCTCAGAAAATTTCATTTAGAAAACAAGCAGAGATGACTGACTGTGTATTCCATATATGCTGTACTTTCTTGTTAAGAGCAATGTTAATTGTAGCTGTTATTCATTCAGTAAGTATTTGATGTGATGCTTTGTCTAGGTATCATTTGCAACTGCTATGCTGCGGACATCCCACAAGACTGGACACAAGGTGGTTCATAGCCTACAAGTCAGGACACTCACTACAGATTCAAGTGATTCAGCCCCTAAGAAGTTTACAGTTCGTGCCCCAAAGAAACTGCCACCAGCTCCGTCAGTTATATCCACTGTTACATCAGATCAAACACCTCTTCCCAAACGGCAGCTGATAATGAAGAAACTGCCTTGGTCAAAATCACAACCAGTGAACTCAGTTCCACATTCCAAATCTACAGACAGTGAAGTGCAGAGAAAAGCTAACAGAGGGGGCAGGTCCTTGTCCCCTGTTGCAAACAAATCTGAGACTTTTCTTCTGAGTGGCTCAGAAGAAACCAAACAACCTTCTGTTCATAAGAGCAGGGGTCGCAGTAAGAAGAAGCCAGTTTTATCTCCAAGTGGTGATGGACTTACTGAGCCGTCAAATGAGAGTAGCAAGAAAATTGCTGGGCCAGACATAAGCATGCAAGAATTTGATGTAGATATCAGCACCGTTGGCAGTACTGAGACTTCGAATATTCTTGCTGCAATGCGCATTGCCATGTTAGAAGGTGTTATCACTGAGACCCCACCATTAGGAGCCAGCCCTAAGAAACTTATCAAAAGATTTTCTGTAAAGAAAGATTCATGTGTAGAAGAGAATAAAATAACACTGCAAGGCAAGCGAAAGAAATTGCCCTCCAACCAACAAAATTCCGTGAAGAAGAAAACAAAACTAAGTCAGTCAGAACTAGAAGAGCGATTTCTTCGCAACAAGGGTTACACTCACCCAGATGAGATCACAGATGAACCAATTATCTGCAAGGGTTGTGGCTTGCAATTTGATAATGGTTCAGCAGAGTTGCGCCATCGCAAGACTTGCATTTATGTCCCTCCTGAGGAGGATGTTGGTTCCATTGAAGTACAGGATCTGCATCCATGTTTGCATTGTTATGTGCAGTTCCCCTCTGTATCCACTCAGCTGAAGCACATGCAGCAATGCAAAGCTGCAGTGAAGAGTAACACTGAGGTGACAGATGAACCATTTACAGGTTTTAAGAAGACAGCAACTGCTAAAGCAAAATCAAAGAAAAGGGATAACTGCTGTAATACAACTGTGGCTGGTAAAGAAGATGTTGTGGAACCTCAGAAAAGCATTCGGAGCTGCAGTGAAAATTCAGTGAAGATTGGAAGAACAAAAGCAAAACCTGGCTCAACAAAGACTAAACAAGAAATTACCAAAAGAAAGACTGTCATTGATGGCCGCATTATAAAAGGGAAGAAAGTTGATCTCACAGACAGTGTTGACAATAGTCTTGATGCAACTAAAAAGTGGCCGACCAGCACCAAGAACACCAGTAATAGTGTAACAAAGAAGAAAGTTGACAACATGGAAACTGTGAATATTAGTTCAGTTGAGATGCCGAAAAAGATTGGAAGAGAAAGTACGAACAGTAGTTCAGTTAGAACAAAGAAAAAACCTGATATCTTAAAAAATGCCCGTAGCAGTTTGCTGGAAAGAAAAAAAAAACTTGATGACAAAGAAAATGCCAGTAGCGGTCTATTAGGAACAAAACAGAAATTGTATAGCACTGAAAATGTCAGCAGCAGTACAGTAGGAACAAAGAAGAAAGTTGATAAAATGGAAAATGTCAAGAGTGGTCCAGGAAGAACAAAGAAGAAAATGAATGGCACAGAAATTTGCAGTGGTGATTCAGTAAGAACAAAAAATAAACCTGATATTCACAATAGGCCTGTCACAACAAAAAGAAAACTGGATAGCGTAGAAAATGCCAGCCCTGTGATAACAGAGAAGATGGTTGATAGCCCAGAAAATGCCAGCAGCAGTCTCTTGGAATCAAAAAAGAAACTTGGTGAATTAGAAGATGCCAGTAGCAGTTCCGCTGGAATAGTAGAAGGTATTTGCTCTGCTTCTATTGGAGCAAAGAACATTAAGAACGCTGGCAATGGTCCAGTTGTGTCAAAAAAGAAACAAGGTAACATGCGAAGAACTGTCAGTAGCAGTCCGATGGGAGCAAGGAAGAAACTTGGCAGAACAAGAAATCACAGCCCAGGTGGAACAAAGAGAAAGCATGAAAGTTCAGAAAATATGAGCAATATTCCAGCTGAAGTAGAGAAAATACTTCCTGTCGCACAAAATGACAGCAGTAGCCCAGTTGTATGGCAGGAATGCCTTGACCACACAGCAAGTGAAAGTCCAAAGAAACAGGTGGAATGTGGCACTGAAATTGTCAATAATAATTCAGCAAAGACAAAGAAGAGATCTGGCAGTGCAGGATCTGCAATTAGAAGTCATTTCAGAAAAAGAAGCAGATTGGATAACACTAGGTCACCAGACATAGTTTTGACTGGAGCAAAGAAGAAATTTGACAACATTGATATTCTGAATGTAACAAAAAGTAAATCTGGCAGCAGTGAAAGTGTGAGTAACAATACAGATGAAAGAAAACACAAATGTTCCAGCACTGGAAATGAGACTGGTAGTCCTGCTGCTAGTGATGTAGATGACAGAATGCCAGAACTGCAGAAAGAAGAGCCTATTGAGGACTTGAAGACCGAAACTCCAAGTCCCAAAGTAGAAGACCTCTGTGATATTCCAATATTGTCACCAGTGGGCTGTGAACTGCTGGCTGAAGACTGTGAAGAGAAGAACAGTGATACTGACCTTAGTGAAATGCTGAGGAAGGATGTAATGAAGGAGAAAGAAGAACAGCGATTACCAGTTCAAGGTAAGAAACATCCCAAGACCACATCGAAAAAAAGTAATGGATTGAAACACGTTAGAACGACCATGAAAATAAGGAAACCATCGGACCTTGTAAAGATAATGGATGTTAGATTTCAGATTCCCCAAATTCCATTACAGATTCAGCCAAGTGAACTGGAGACATCTGTTGGCACGCCCTTAACAGTAGGTGAAGCATGTGATGTGATTCCACTGGGGGAGGATAATGACGATAATAAACCTTTAGCAGAATGCGTGAGTGCCCTTGTTACATCATCAGAGCGATACACCACCATGGAGAAACCTTTACAGAAGGTGAAGAAGGCAGCACCATCATCAAAGCAGCAGAAACGGAAACCTGTCAGACGCAGGAATAGTACCATATTGTGGAACAAGAAAGGCATAAAGGGAGCCACCAAAACAAAACCTCAGCTGACCGAAGAAGATTCTAGTGATGACTTGCTGCCAATTTCAAAGCTGAAGGAAGTGATTCAGAAGAAGGCTTTACCACTTGAGGAACTGAATTCTAATGGCACTGGAGCATGTGATACTAATTCTTTGGTTGAGCAGATGAATTCAAGAGTTAATGGAGGGTTGGAATCTGAAAGTTTGGTTGAAGTAAATCCTCCCACAGTCTCAAGACCAGATGAGGCCTTGGATTCTGAAAGTCTTGTTCAACATAACACAAAGAAATCACACAAGATACCAGTTCATGTTAGCTTAAATGAGAAGAGTCTTGCAGTGCCTAGGAGAGGAACAGCAAAGACAGGGAAAAGAGGTAGGACTCAATCCTGGGGTGAAGGTACAAAGAAAGTGAGTGACCAGTTTCAACCACAGGCTCGCCGAAAAGCCAGCCTCCCATGTAGTCATCTGGAAATACCAGCAGCCGAGGGAGTCCTCACTAGTATTCAGCAAGATGTCAAAAAGGCAGTGATTCCAAAGAGAAAAGCAAGGAAGTATACTGAACAAGTGGAATCTCAGGACAGTATCCAAGTAGAAGACTTGATATCTCTTAGTAATCAGGGAGAAAGAAATGGTTTGTCTGTTAAGAGACAGGAAATGGAAAGTGAAAGACAAGTCATCACTAAGAGAAAAAGAAAAATACAAGTTGAAGAAATGCAGTTTGAAGATGGAGACAGTGTGTACTGCCCTGTTAGCCACTTACAAGATAGCACCTTGAGACATGAAGACGAAGAGGACCATTTGGTCAGCACAGAACATAAAACAGACATTTCAGAAGCCTGCGAAGAGGAAATATCCCCCTCTCTTCTGTGTGAAGAGGCAAGTGATGCAGGTGATGAAGAGTTGTTTGTGGCCAAGAGGAAGTTAGAGAGAGCACTGAAAGAATTTGGAACCCAGTCCACAATGGCTGCTTTTCCTGTTAGCCAGATGTGTGATACTGTGCCATATGTTCTAGAGGGTAAGAAAACAAACTACTTACTTAATGAAGGACATAAAACAATTTTGAATGTTGATGAAAAATATAGAAAGGTAAAAGGCAAGAGAAATTCTTTAATTGGCAAGAAGTTGGGGATTACTAAGACTAAAGCAAAAGGGCAGTTGAAGAAAATCCGGTCTCAGTACAGAGATGATACTGGCCAGGCTCACTGGGCAAAGCAGAAAGGAGAAACAGACTATTTAATTGCTGAGGAGGTAGGGAGTGAAGGTACAAACTCTGTAAAGGGGGAAATGCTGTCAGTTGCTAATAGAAAATCAAAACAACAGTTGGAGGAGTACAGATCTAAAGATGGAGAGGTTTCAGACTCTAATATGTATGCGAGGCAAGATTCAGGATCTGTTGTTGGAAGGATGGAAAAAGTGACCATGACCGGTGATGGTGATCTGCAAGATGTACATGATTTTATATGTGAAAAACAAGAGACTGAGAGACCACCAAGAGAATCTGGTGAGGAGTCGATACCGAGCTGCAGAGAGGTCACCAGTATGTCAATTTGTGAGGAAATTAAGATCAGAAGAAGAAGAAAGGAGGCAAATTTGGCTGACAAGACTAGGAAGACAAGTCATCTGATTAATGACAAAAAAGAAACACGCATGAAAGAAAAAAAGAAAGCAAACTTTCAGACAAATGAAGAAAAGGAAACTAAACAAAAGATTAAACTTGTCATTGGTAAGAGAAGAAGAAAGAAAAGCCCCACACTTGATGAACAAGAACAGATGTGCAGACTGATAAGTGAGGAACAAGAGAAACGGATAGCAAATACTGACAGTGAAGAAACAGTTATGCATATTCAGGACAAAGAGACTGGTGATAATGTGGAGACACATGAGATCAGCAGGAAGGATGAGCTGAATGGTAGGGTTATTGAGGAAGAGGACAGAAGTGCCGACACAGGCAACAGAATTGATTTAAATCATGAGATTGAAGATACGAATGCCATGCCGTGCGTTGTGGAAGAAACAACAAATACTTCAGTTGATGAGACAGGCGACACATCAAACCACTTGAATACTGAGACAGAAGACTTAAGAACTTTGGTTTGTTTTAAAGGAGATACAAAGTACTTGCTTGGGGAGAGAAAGTTATGTACTCTGATTGGTGAAAAAGAGGCAAGTCAGCCAACTGTTGAAAGTGATAAAGGGTTGATCATTCAGGTGGAAAGAATGGATACTGTGGACAGTATGGAGATGAATGTAGATAATGAGGAGTCTGGAGCCACTCTAACTAGTGAGCAGGAGGCATTTAATAGTGATATTTTTGGTGCAGATTCTGTATCTGGTGATAAAGATATACCTGTTAGGAACATACTTGCAGACTCCTTGGTTCATCAGGAAGGTTGCTTAAATGCTGTGATAATTGACGAAAGTTTGAGGAATGATGGGACTGAACAGGTGGGCTCTTTGTCATCAACGATCAACATTGTAAGCAGTACAGATGTAGAAGATTCACAGATGAATGTGGAGATACCCTTACGACAAGCCCGACGAACACGTTGTAATACTTCATATGAAGAGCTGTACACATGGTCAGATGTTACAAGTGAGACTGAAGAAGATAGTAGCCAGGATCTTCCAAATTCAAATATTATGGCCACACTTTGCCAAGATGCTGATATTTCAACGTACGAGGAAATAGCAGCCATGATTGCAAACGGTGAATACTTGTTTCCCTCTAACAGTAAGAAGAAGAAAAAGAAGAAATTGCGCAACAATAGCAGACAGTACAGAAATGGACATATCAGGAGAAATGGACGTAAGAAGCAGAAGTTGAGGCCCAAACTGATGAAGAAAACAAGGCGATCAGCAGTGCATGAGTTTGTAGTTACAGACATTGAGACAGGTCAAGAGGAATCTCAGGATAGTTGTGAGTCCATTGTGTTGTCAGAAATCATGAAGGCAGAGCATCCACCCATGGGTACAGATACACGCCCAAAGCACGCTGATGTGAGCATGAAGAAGAAGAGGGCAAGGACATTGCAGTTGCCAGAGAGTAAGGAACAAGCAGTCAATAATGAGAATGCACAAGTCTGTGATAGTGACAGACCAAAACAGAAGCGGAAAAGCAGTGTGGGATCCATGTTTTTCTGCACGTTATGCAACAAACACTACTCCACTAATTACAACTTGATGAAACACAAACTGTCACTCCTTCACAAGAGGTTATCTGAGAGGGATCAGCCCTCCACCCCTGTAGACATGCAAAAAACAGAATGCAAACAGTGGCACTCCTCTATTCTTCAGAATACAGAATCCAAACAGACTTCTACTCCTGTTGAAGCTAAATTGCCAAATTCTGTTGTTATTCAAGACACGGAGACTGAACTGTCTACCTCAGACAGTCAGAATGCAGAACCACAGCCATCTAGCTCTGTTAATCACAGTGTGGGAACTGAACAGCAGTCAGGTTCTGTGAATCATGTGGAAGTGGAAGAGGTTTCTTCTTCTGTTCAGAACACCGAGTCTGAAAAATCATGCTCTTCTGTGATGCAGGATGTGGTGACTGAACCATCTTGTTCTGCCATAGTTCAAGATCTAGAAGCTGAGCATATTCTTGTATCTCAAAAGATGGAAGTTGGAAAGTCTTCTGTGGTTTTAAGTGAAAACACAGAATTTGAAGAAATGTGTAGTGTGGTTAGGAATGTAGGAAGTGAAGAAACTTGTGCTGTGGATTCTGAAAGGACATATACTTTGATGCAAAACATGGACATTGAACAGTTTTCAACAAATTTGCCAGATAAAGAGGTTGATAGATCTGTTACCTATGTGGAGAAACCTTCTGCAGCAGAGAGAAACAGTGAGCGCGTCTTAGGAAGAAGCAGTTCGGTGCAGAATTCACCTCTAGATACAGTCCAACAGGGAACAAACCTAGTCGAGACATCATCAGGTACTGAAACTAGAAACGAGATAGCAGCAGCTCTGTCAAACAGTGCTGCTGGTATGTTGTGCGGTGAGCAAGTGGCTGTGTGGACAGAGCATCAAGCAGATGTCACTTCTGATTGGCTGGGGAAAGAAAGGGACATACAGCACAATTCGACTGCAGCCAGTTGGCCAGCATCAGTCGAGCAGAAGCAAGCTAGTTGGCTTGAAGGTCAGGTGGATAACAACCAGTGGCTGTATGCCAGCCAGTGGTCACAAGAAATGGCTTGGGGTAGAGAGGCAAACCCAGATATGCATTGGAATGCAGATTCCAGTCAGGATGATACCACATTCTTCCAATCAAATTCTGCAAGCTTGGGCTCCATACTAGATTCTGTTAACCAGGTAAGCATGTTTATACAGCAGAATCCATGTGTAACGAATCTTGGGGGGTGATTTTCTTACACTGAATCCAGGTTTTCACTGAATGTGGTCTAAGCAAAATTACGTCAAGAAACTGTTTAGGGCTTTCTATATATAATTATGATAACATAAGTTCTTTGCTTAAATAATTAGGCTGTTTTTGATGATGTTGATTAATTGACCATTGTCTCTAGTAGCAGGACCCGTAGGTTCAGTACTTGTAATATCAAAGCACAACTTTTGACACAGTCTTGAGCCATTTCCATTGGCCACCAATTCTCAAAATCTGTACTTCCCAGATCTGTGTTAATGTTACCTTGCTATCCAAGTCACCACTTTCTGCCAAATATCTGTGTTCTCATGTCTGCACTGAACCAACATATCCAGTCCATTGTAACCTTGATATCTCCACTCTGATAATGTTGGGTGGTGTGTATAAGATATATAGGTTTTCTTTGTGTAATATCTTAAATATTTTCCAGAGCAGTTTGATTTCAAAGACTTGCATCTTTTATTCTTCCCTTTAAGTAACGTGCGTCATCAGCAGCGACTTGAAGCACAGAGTAAATAATGCTCGAGATGATTCAAGTTCGTATAGCAACAGGCGTGACCAGAGTGGTTTGAACGCCTATTGTACTGCGATGTGGAAAGCAAATGGAAAAACTACCACATTATCACTTTTCCTGGATAGTCTCTTTCCAAAACCAGAGATACCATGTATGCGAGATGTTTCATTTGAAGGAGAAAGCTCTAGATCGCATCAAGTGGAGGAACTGTTTTGGAAGAGACTGTGGACCTGTCGTCTTGACAGATTACTGATGAATGAATGAATTAAGTAACGTACTTCATTTCACTATCATATAAAGCAGTTGTCAAAGTTGATGTTTTTATAAATTGTTTTCATCCTATAATGTTTTGGAATGCAAACTGAAACAGTAAGAATCTTTGAACGGAATAACAAGTGTTTACCAAATTTATTCCTCTCCTTTTTTTTTTGTAAGAAAATTATTCCCGTCACCAAACAAGTTGCCTCACTTGCCAGACAATCCTGATTGAGGTTTATGTTGTTTTCCTGTCTTTCCAGGAAAATGGCAACATACTACTCCCGCTTATGCTATGCTTATACCATCCACATCCTTTCAAATTCAGTATCCACTGTTGTGCTACCAAGGATAGGTTCTTCTTTTTTCTGGCACTACAACCCTGTGTGGGTCTTGGCCTCCTCCATTGTTCCCTGGAAGTTTTGTAGCAATAAATTTTTGTGGGGTGGGATTTTTAGCCCCATGCCAAACCCACAGCCTTAGGACCAGGGACTACTACACTTTATCTGGCCCCTACCATACCCGGAGCTTATGCAACCACCAACATAGCTCTCCATCTCATTGGCATGTGCAAAACTCCACGATAAGTCCCCAAGGAGGACCAGGTACAAGGTACAGAGAAAAATATTTGACCATAAGAGGGAGGAAGTGACAGGAGGCTAGAGAAACTTTAATAACCAGGAGATTCATAATTTGTATTCCTCATAATATTAGGGTGATCAGGTAGCATGACATTAACAGCAAATAGGATAGAAGTGCATGCAGAGTTGTGGTAGAAACGCAGAAAGAAAAGGGCCACTCAGAAGACCTAGGCCTAGATGGGAGGATAATATTAAGATGGATCTTAAAGAAATAGAATTGGAAGGTATAGCCTGGACTAACTTGGCTCAAGATAGGGACCAGTAGCTGGCTCGTGTAAACACAATAATGAACCTTTTGATTGCATAAAATGCTGGGAATTTCCTGACAAACTGATAAACTCTTCAGTAACTATACTCTGTGTAATTAATTAGTATAGTCTGAGATACTGACAGCATCGTTAAACTGTCAATAAATAAGGGTAATGCTCAGCATGGGAAAGCATTACCTTCTCACGTGTTACCATGGAGGTTTCTTTTTTTATTGCTAGTGGGGTGGGACTAAATCCTTTGTACTGCGGCCGCTTCTGGCCTCTTGTACCAGTGCCAGATGACAAGTGAGGGTGATTGTGGAGCAATTGGTGGAATGAAGGTTGGCAGTGGAAACCGAAGTACTCAGAGAAAACCTGGCCCAGCCCACTTTGTCCACCACAAATCCCACTTTACCAGACCCAGGATCAAATCCGGGCCGCCGCAGTGGCAAGGCAGCGACTAACCGCTTGAGCTATGGCGTGGCCTACCATAGAGGTTAACTTTGACTTATTTGTGTTACAGATTCTGGACAATGAGCGTTCTGCAGACAGGTTGCCAGCTGCTGATGGATATCAGCCATATGTGGACCTGCTGCAGTCTGGAACTGAAGATGTGGTTGCAGCTGGTGGACTGCGGGAGCTGCAGCAAGCCATGGGAGCAACAGATGAGGAGATGGCTATGCTGCAGCAGCTGGGAGAAGGAAGCTGGCCTGTGGAAGATGCTGACATCATGGACCTAGACAACCAGAAGTCTGACAGTACCACACTCACTGGTGCCCCAACTTCAGCCACCAGTACGTCCACTAACACTCCAGCCAGTAGACTTGCGAAGCTTGTTGAAGGCACAGCAGGAAACAGGACCAGGAGTGAAGAGGAGGGGGGTGGCGCGTCTTCAGTCGCAATGGTATTGTGAATACTGTTTTCTGAGCTCTGGAATTTTATATTTTCTCTGCTGAAATGACAGTGGTTTACAAGTAATGTCTGTTTTTCATATTCTAGCAACAATTTCACATTGCAGCTCACTTTCTTCCTTTCAGTCCCCCCCACCACATTTATCTCACTAGATACGTTAATTACAACTATTTTTGTTTCATAGCAGCCTGACAGTACTACTTAATGTGCTCCTCATACATACTTAATATTTTAATAGCAAACATTCAGCAGGCAATTATGATGACACTTCAGGTTTAAGTATGTTCAGATTGTGCTTTATTGAGCCCAGAGGAAGTCCCACATATCAATCAGCCCATGATGTGCATGTATTGACCATCTTCTAGTGCACACAGTCTCACTTGTCACTTCACTACATGTTTCGCCATCACTGTGTTATCCTCAGGTGTGTTATTTATGTTAAACTATCGCACTGCTTGCCATCATGTGTCGCATGTAAAATGATTTAAAATGTATATTCATCATGTACTGTAATAAAATTTATATATTAAAATTTTTTGTTAAGATTTATCATCTTATACGTCGTATTTTAAACTCGCATATTATATCAATTTTCCGCTGTGTGAGTCGTTCTTCCTATATTTTGTGTATACGGCATCATGTGATGTGTCCTTCTCTTGTGGCTGCGCCAATACATATACATCATGGACGTGAATCAGTGCAACAGGACGCTAAAATACAACATTATCAATCAGTCCCCTCCAGTCATATAACCATTATATTCACATTCATTTTTTTAGTGATAATCTTCACTAGCAACAAGCCTTTTTACCTGGTACCAGAGGGGGTGCAAAGATATATAACATCAACTCCTGCCATTCCTACCATTCATGGGACTTCATCTGTGGCCTCAGTATAGTGTTAATTAGAGTTTTGTATTATTTATATTGTATGGAGTAGTGTACTGATCCTTAATGGCCTGTGATGCAGATAAGATTGTAAAATGGTGAGCTACACTTATCAGGCAGATTTAGCAAAGACTTGTAGATAAAGTGTATTGGGCTTAAAAGTGTGATTATTTTATCTCACACATTCATTTGAAACATAAGGGTCTCTAAATAAAGCGTGCATTATGTTGTCTGATGTCAGCCAAAATTGGGATGTGATGACAAATTAAAGTAGTCCTCTCCAGTATCAAATTTCAGTGGTTCTCAATTTGTTTACCTGCATACAGACATACAGATGGATAGACAGACATGATGATGATATTAGTTGAATTTTTGCAACCTTTTGTTATGGACATCCCAAAAATGGGGACATTCACAGTGTGTCTGCTGAATCTGTAGCAGATCTGCGATATATGTTAAACACACTGCTGTAGTCACTGATGTGTAAGGTGTATAGGCAATCAGGCATAATTTGATGTATTCCCATTGCATGTGCAGGCACAATCAGCTGTGACGACCCGCGCACTCTCTCGTCGTGGTGGTTTACGTACTCAGGATATGCAACTAGCTTTGTACGAGAACAAAGATATGGTGTGTCCTGTGTGTAGCCGTAGGTTCCTTGGGCTCAACGCACTCAAAGCTCACCTTGCAGCAGCTCACAACAGTTCCACTCGCCACCGCACTCAGGCAGTCATCAGTATGTGTTACACAATTCCACACCTGCTATTTGTAAAACGTTAACTTTCCAAACACTATAGCACTTAGCCTTTCAGACTACTACCGTTTCCCATCAGCTCACGTTGCCAGCAGTAACTGAAAGTACTCATAACTTTCAGCCTTTGATTGTTTGTCCTATGTTTGTTGATCTGTTAACTTAAGAACAGGACAGTTTGCAGAATGCATTTGAGTTGGAATTGCATGCTCTCAGTGGTCACCCATAAGAAGGTGTTGAGCAGTTTTGATACTTTTCTTCGAATATTAAAATAACTTTTTTTTTTCGGAGGTTTGATACCATGTAGCCTGCTAGTTAACCATATGTTATGGAAGAAAGTACTGCCTCCATCTTCTGCATTGAAGATGGATGCAGTAGATTCCTTTAAAATGTTGATGACACACCTATCAGTGTACATGGCATCAAATCCCTGAAGACCACAATCTTAATAATTACTGTCTTGAAAACGTAAAATCTCATGTTTTAGAAAAAATGTGTGCCCTTGAAAATTATCCTGAAGCCATATTTCTTTTAAATCTCCATCTTCATGAATTCAAGCTTGAGTCTTCTCTGTCTAGAGCAAGAAAAACGAGTATAAATTATAGTATTAAAATCATAGTCGTTCTTTTAAACTTTACTAAAAATTCTAGCATTGTGCCAGTCACTTTTTAAGAGAAGAGCATAGATTGAGAGTATATGAGAAATGTTACTGCAAAAAATGTTTCAATCTGTGAAATAAGAAGTAGAGAATACAGAATGTAAGCAACGCAATTCGTACTCTTCACCACATATTATTAGGGTGGTTAAGTGAAAGAGAATGGGATGGGCAGGATGTGTAGCATATAAGAGAACTGTGCATACATGTAGTTTGGAAATCTCAAGGGAAAACCCACTTGCAGGATCTTTAAGAAATAATTGAAATGGATCTTAAAAAAATATGATTTATAATTGTGGATTAAATGTAAATGACTCAGGATTGGCTCTAATGTTGGCTTTTCTTGACCATGTTAATGCATATTTGATTTTCATATGTAGGATTACCCTGCACCATGCAGCTAGCTAGCCTGGGGACATCACGCTTTCAACTCGTACTTTTGCATTCTGCTTGGATGTTGATCACTGTACAACAAAACCTCTTCCAGTTCCTTTCCAAAGCTTTTTGCATGTTATTACTGAAAGCTGTGTTACGTATGTTGTCTGCTTGCTTTATTTTCTGTGAAAGGAATGTAATTTGTTTTATTTATCTATGAAGCTTATAACATTTCTTCTTTTCAAAGAAATTTCCATTTTCATTCCATAGCATTGACCTGGCACATGGCATCAAATTTGAACTTGAGAATGCATGCCTCTTGCAACTGTTTATGGCATTATATGGGCTGTATTCAGCCACCCCTTCCATATCTGCATCTAGATCTGTCTCTTAACCATTTTATTGACAGGGTATTTCTTTTCCATGTTAGTTTCCTGAGTGGGTAGTCTGAAGGAAGTGAATCTTATGTTGAAAAGGCAAATGTCGCAGTCTAGTGAGTAGTGCTCCTGCTTTATGTCTTGGAGGCTCTGGTTTTAAACATTAGCCTAGAGACAGGCTATCTGCAGTCCTTTTTGTTGTTTTCTTCAATCTCGCCAGATGAATACCAGAATATATCCAACCATGACCATATCTTTGATTTGTTTCATTCTGGCCCGTCACAGTAACAATCACAAATATAAATCACTCCGTCCAATGTGACCTGTAAGTTTATTACTACATGAAAAACTTAACACCCTTACATGTTTCGGTCTCTGTGGACCATCTTCAGGGGGCAAACATCATTACAAATAGGAAACCACCTTCGTGGCAGAGACCGAAACATGTAAGGGTGTTAAGTTTTTCATGTAGTAATAAAACTTACAGATCACATTGGACGGAGTGATTTATATTCATGACCATATCCTTTCCAGTTCATTGTTTGCTAATCATCATATCATTGACACTGTATAATCTAGGCTGCTGAAACCATCATTAAATTAATCAAGGATATAAATTTTATGTTCAAAAGTATTTTTCCCATTAGTTAAATAGATTAATATTTTTCACTCTGAATTCCCCATAAAATCGTTTATGAAAAAAAATATGTCCCAGTCCATATTAGGTAAAAATAATCTATTTATTCATTATACTGATTTTGAAGTGGTTCTGTTGCCTTTTCAAACCCAGCTTATTTCCTCCTCCATCTGCTACTTTTCTTCTGCATGCTTCATAATCTTGTTCTTTAAATCTTACAGTTCTCTATTTCTTCCTTTTCATCTCTTCTTTTCTCCTTTTTTACATTCTATTTCTGCTTTTGCCTCTCCTGTTCTTCCTTCTGTTCCTCTACCATCACCATCATCTTTCTCGCTCCTCCAGTGGCATGACCTGCACACTGGTGTGTTCAGGGTCTGATTGGATATATTTTTCATCTCTATGTGCTGTACTTTTAGGTATAGAAATATAATAGTTGTGTGTGTTTCAGAGCGCCCACGCATTGTTCCTAGCTCAGCATCTGATGGAAGTGGTGAACCAGCCCGTCATGTCTGCATAGTATGCAAGGAACTTCTGCCTGACGAGCAGGGACTTGCTGACCACGTTGAGGTAGCTCATGTTGAACGTCAGAACACTGGAGGCAAGCGTGTTGATGGGTGAGTGTCAGCGCATCTCCTGAGGCATGGAACTTATTGGGCTGTAAGCTACTGATTTATCTTATTGTTACATATTGGTTGACATTTTAGGATGGGTGGCAGCAAACACAGTACTGCTGGTGGTGGAGATGAAGGACTTCGCAGTCACATGACTTCCGCACTTGGGGGCCTCCTGACACGGGCCCTTAACAACTTTCTGGGCAAGAATCGATCCCAGCCTTCACCCCCAGCTACTCAAGTTCCAAGGTATGAATACATGCCTCAGGCACCAACAAGGACATTGACCTGGTACTTAAGTGAAGAACACCAAGGAGCAGAGTTCTTTGAGAAGCTAATAGCTGCTCACTTATTCAGAAATGGTTCCCTTCCTTTTATATAACCAAAAAGTTCATTACCATGTTCACAAGAGCCAACTGACATTCTTCCACACTATTTCTTTAAAATCTGTTTTAGTATTTTATTCCAGTCTATACCTACATCATCTTCCAGGTGGTCTCTTCCCTTAAGGATTTCTCTTTTATGTGTATACCTCATCTTTCTCATGCATGGCCCTTATGATATTTCTGGAACAGTACAAATTATGAAGCTCATTATTATGCACTTTCTTCCCTTTATGTGAAAGGCAAAGTTTCACACTCATACAGAACATCATATAAAATTATGCTATTATATACCATAAAATGTATGCAGGAAGAGAAGGGTTCTCAACCAGATCGTGGCAAATATTCATAATAATTATCAAACTTCAAGCATGTATTGTGATAAACTAAAATTCTGTGGCATGCAACATTTTTTTTATTGTCTTCTGTTCATAACTGTAAGCTTTCTTTGTATGCAACAGTCCTATCACTGGATCTCTTGGTGGAAGTCATAGCAGTATGTTGCTTACACAGCCTGTAGCACAATTACTGGGTCATGGCCTCAAGGTGACAAATCGGCGTCATAGCAGTGGGCCTGTTGATGAGCAACTATTCAGTTGTATTGACTGTGATGAGAGGTGAGTGAGAGCTGAGATGAATTCTGTGCAGTAAGATTATGAATATCAAAATGTATCACTGAAAAACTTAATTCCTGGGAGCAGAGATTTTTATTGAAGATCCTCTACCTACCTCAGCCTTTGAGATGGAGATAGCAGTGTTGTTGTTGTAATCCCTCATAAGATTTTTTGCTTGCACTTCCTCTTCAGCATTTCCATTGGTGTGGGCCAAGCTCACGATTTAATGTCCCTCCTGTGATGTAACTATTTGTGTCCCTAATAAGGGCCGTTTTCTCCTCTCTCTCTCTATCACATATATTCATGTTGCATATATACACAAATTCCTGTTTATCATTCCTATTGGTCTGGACTGAGTCCATTTATCCCCCCCACATGGATCTTTGCGACCATTTTCTAAGCAGTTTGTCTACAGCACTTGTCACATCTCAGAAGATGGAGGTAGTTTGTCCAACTGAAATATCAGTATTCACCTACAATACAATATGACATCACCAAATACTCATCAATGAAAACTTGAACTCTGATATTTATTGGAAACATTAAGAAAATGCTAACAAATGTTTAAAGAGCAGATTCTATGGATGTCCCATAGACTGCCAGTCACTGCTAGTGAAGATATCAGAAAGATAAATTTTATCAAGACTGACAAATATTTTTGTTCTTACATTCAGCATTTGTATCAGTTGTAAGATTTGAGGTTTTCACTGCGGTGACTATGAAGAAAGCAGTCTTCTGAGATTTGGCACCGTGTATATGCGGTGTTAACCGACGTTAACTGCTTTTACCGGTTCTCATGGTCTCTTTGCCTGCGGATTTCTTATATTTTTCCTTCTACCTTGAAGACGGAGGCCATACGTTCCTCCGAAACGTCGGTTAGGTTTTCACGGCGGTGACTATGAAGAAAGCAGTCTTCTGAGATTTGGCACCGTGTATATGCGGTGTTAACCAACGTTAACTGCTTTTACCAGTTCTCATGGTCTCTTTGCCTGCGGATTTCTTATATTTTTCCTTCTACCTTGAAGACGGAGGCAGTACGTTCCTCCGAAACGTCGGTTAACACCACATATGCACGGTGCCAAATCCCAGAAGACTGCTTTCTTCATTTGTATCAGTTGTTTGAATCAAATTGGAATCACTTAAATACCACTAGATCACCGAATTTGTCATAGGTGTTCATCAACTTACACAGATTTTGCATGCATAGATTTTAAGTTTTAATGGAGACTGAAAATTAATTAAATTATTTGCCTAAAAATAGTATTTGGATACAGCCAAATTAATTGGTATTAATATTAATTGAATTATGTATTTTTGGTTGAAAATTGAAGCCAGATGAGTAACAAAAGTTTTGATTTACCTGATCACACTTGGAGTTGCAACTGTTACATAATTTGGGGGATACCATTTCTTAGGCTACTAACACTCCCATACCAACCTTAGAATACAGGGAGCCATAAGGAGCTGACATTTAAATTTTCTTCTCAGTAGAACACAAATAAAGAAATTACAACCTGTTCTAATGAATACTGACCATTTGGGTTGTTATTGGTGTTTGTGAGGGAAGATTGTGTTTTCTTTATCGTTGATTCCATGTCTATGTTTTGGACTTGGACTTGGTTGTTTGGGGTGGTCTTGCTGTTCCACCTGTTTATTTTTTTTGCATTCTTCAGAAATACCAAGTATAACTCAAAAATGGTCTGCCCAGCATAATTGTGGTGTAATTCTGCTTTTCATCCATTCATTAAAAACAGCCACAAAGGAATATATCGTGGAAATAGAAATAGGTCATCATCAGGCTCTCATGTGTCTTCATAGTCCTTATTGTGTCACATTTCACAGGTTTACCAGTAAGAGCAACAGGAATCGTCACGTAGCCAGAGCTCACCGTGGACAGCAGTATCATCGGTTAAGCACTGACAGCCCTCTAGAACTCACCAGAACAGCATCCCCCCTCACGAGCCATGAAAGCATAGTATCAGAGATTGACACGGATAATCTGCCCCTGAGCATCAGAATTTCCAATTTCAGTTCTGAGACAAGACCAACAGATGGTGAACCTGGCAAGTCACAGTTGATTGCTGCCAACAGTGTGAATAGTGAGACATCACCAAAGACAAAAAAGGATCATTCAAGCCAGATGGGAGAAGGATGCAGTGCAACCATATTGCAGGAGATAGATCATATGGTAGGAACTCCTTGCAACAGTGTGGGAGAAGAAGAACAAGATAGAGAAAAGCTGACAGTTAAGAGGTCAACATGCTTGGGAAAAAGGCAGGATCGAGAACAATTTGAATATTCCAAGACTCACTGGAGAAGCAGCTTGAAAGCCGACGTGTTCCGTCCAAGATCAGAAAATTCAGGCAGTGTGAGTGATGAGGATTCAATTAAGGCAAAAGCTGTAGCAGCATTGAGGGCTCTGAATGCGCGAGACAGAAGGATACGTAATGGCCTTCCAGGTAGCATTGGGGCTGCACTCTGGAGTGGTGTGTCTCGTAAGAAGTCCAGAGGACTCAACTCTGATGACAGGTTTCGTTTCCCATTGGTCCGGAAGACTCCTCCGTCCATAAATCGTTTTGCTTCATTGGCAGAGAAGAAGAAAAAGAATGTATCGCGTATGGTTAAGCTTGAGGCCATGAGTTGGTCCAAAGAAAATCCTGAAGAAGGGAGGAAGGAATTACAAACCATGCCTGCTAGTGCTGCCAGTCCAGTGTCATACGATGTATATGAGTTTCAGGATGAAGTGGAACAAGCTCAGCATCCATCTGAACTTGGCTTGGCAGAGTTCAGGTTGAGGACACCTGTTGGGAAAATTGCATCACAGGACAATGGAGCTGACACTGGACCAATCAGTGATGTGGAAGAGAGTAAGGTGGCAGAATGGGAGAGTCTTCAGAGAGACCCCACAAGGAAAGCTGTTGACCCTCAGCCATTTTCAGAACAGAAAGAAGAAAGGTGCACTCATGATATACAGAATGTTTTGGAGAATACTAAGAAAAAGGTCCTTAAATCACTGAAGCTCTCAGAACAAAACCCAAGACTTAAACACAATCATATAAGTAGAAAACATGAAAGCAGCAAAAAGAGACGGTGGCACCGTATCATTGTGGTAAGTGGAGAGGACACTTCTGACACAGAGACAGGGGTGGAGCCACATGACATTCGTAGCGTAGCCCTCGATCAGAAGCTTGATAATCACAAGGACAGAGAGAAGTCTTTGAATTTAGAACATCGAAGTGAAGAGGGCAGAGGCTCCAAGAGGCGACACATGATGCCATGTTTATCAGGTGTTCTCGTAGAAGATCGGCAACGTGGAAAGCGTTCAAAGAAAGCAAAACCACCCAGAAATGGTTCAAAGCGATCGACAAAGACGGAGCTCTTAATGTCTGTATTTGCCAAGTCCCGCCAGCGTAACAATTCTGTTAACAACACAGTGGCTGCTACACATTCAGTTCCTGCTAAAACTCCATTTTGCAGCGCTTCTTTATCTGAACCATATAGGAGTGTGGGGCCTTTTGGCAGTATAGCTGGAGCTGAGAGCGAGTCTGATTCAGGATCTTTGGCAACATCTGTCTCAGCAGGAAACTTGGCAATTAGCAGTGATGATGAAAGAATAGCAAGACAGACAAAGTCTCAGCCAAGGAATCAGAAGAAGAGCAAGCAAAAGCCCACGGCTCTTTGATGTTCTCCAAGGTATGTAGATGTCGATAGGTACAGAAAATTATTCATATCTAAGTACTTTTGACAAGCTTGGTAAGGCAGTTACACTAATAATGTACATTTATCACATTCGTGACTCCACTTAGTGTTGCTGTCAGTGATAAAGCCTACATATACTGCCACTAATGCATCGCTGTGCATCCTCATGATGTTCTTATTGAATTTGGATCACTCGTTAATTCGCTCATTAATTCAGCAGCTTTGGTTACCAAGTTGTTGATATTATATTGGACTAGTCATCGCAGTGTTACCAAGTGCCGCGACGATGACAGTGTTGTGTTCATGTGCTGCTGCATACTGCCAGGATGTGCCTTGCAAATTGTAGTTTTATTTGTGTATTCTAGTTGTGTTCAGTAAGTAGATCGGTGCCACAGTACTTCAGTATCAGTTGGCACACCCTTTCAAGACTGCTTCATCCACTACAGTTTCATTATTTTTATTCCTGCTGATTTATTAAGTGATTGATAAATAATTGAAAATACATTCAAATATTCAAAGTGTATGAAGTTACTCATAAATAAATTAGGATTATTATAATTATGTATGAACTAATGTAGGATTTTGTGAATTTATGTGAACAGTTTCACAGAAGTGTGCATGTATTTTTCAATCTTGATTATAAAGGCAAAAAAAAAAGTTTAAAAAAGGTCTAATTGTTGTGCTTATAAAATCATCCATTCCATGGCAAATTAGACCAAGCAAGTTGGCTCAGGTTTTAATGATTCTGATTTGTATATGTGAGGTGCCCAGTTTGAATCTTGGCTGGGACACCAACTATCCTGACAGTTTTTTCATAGTTTTCCTTAATCCTACAGCCAAAATATAATATATATATATGATACCCTAGACTATGATTGATTCCTTCCACATCCTTTCAGTTCATTATTCGGCATTGTGTAATCTGAGATAGTGACAGTGTTGACAAATAAAACTGAAAGCTCATTGGCATTAGATACATCATCCTCGTCCATGGAAGGAATCTATTACAGTAACCAAGTTAAGTTGTGTATTGGCAAACAGTGATTAATTTTGTAATTGTAGGTTAGTGTGTGTAGGATATCTGCCAGTCTGATTCGTAGTGATGTTAGGAGAAGAGCTCTCAGATTGTCAATCAGAAACTAATCTAGTGCCATAATTGGGTGTTTCATCTCATTCATGACAAGATAAAATGGCTTCACAGAATTACTAACAAAAATGAATGTTGCCGCCACACACACAATCTTATTTCGTGGTATGTCACGTCTGTGTGACATTTTTCTTCGGTGCATATATTAGAATTAGGAACCTGTTTTATCTCTAGTTGATTGCTCCACCTTTTCCTTATCTTTTCTAGACTTCTTCTGTAAGATTTGTATTTCTTTATTAATATTAAAATGTTATCCCCGTCCTCTGTGTGCATATCATTTCACTTTGTGTTTACCTTTTAAACTTTAGCTTTTAGTTCTGTTCAGATTTTGTATCTAATTAAATAGTCTGAATGACATTCTGTGGCTTTTAAATTAACAGTAATTATTACTGCAAGGTGAGTTTAAAATCCAAGGTTTGAAAATATGGTGGCGAATATAATATTTTATTTGAACAAATAATTATGTTCTTTATATAATTCCATGCTGTTACTAAGAGTGTTTTGAACAATTTATTATCATCACTTTAAAACTGCTTGTGACAAATGACTGCAGTCTTTATAGTTTGGTGTTGAACTTGCAGATTGATTAACTTGCCCTTCGTACATCATCACTTCCTGACCGTCCACGTGTTCCCGCTGTTTGAGAGGCACATCCGCAAAGCATCCTGACACCGACTCATGTCCCGGCACGGTGGTGCTCCTACACAGTACATGGTATCCAGATATGAGCAGAACAGTTGCACTGCCCTGTCCACGTCACCAGCTTCCATGGCTTCCATCCCTTCGGAGAACCTTTCTGTCAACTCTTTTACTACTCCATCCTGCAGAGAAACCTGCTTCTTGCACTTAGGGCATCTGTGATGCTCCTTCCTGCATAGCTGTTTGCAGCCCTTTGTGGAACACCTGTGGTAAGTACCAACAACTTTTGTCAGTTTGAACTTGTAAGGGTTAATCTACTAGTGTACAGTACATATTGTGGCATGTAGGCCCATTGCTAGGCAGAGACCATGAAACAAGCAACTATTACAAAAGCCGTTGCTAGGTAGCAACTCTGCCAGCAGTCATGAATGCGTGAATTCGTCAGTAACGAGCAATAATGGAAATGGTTTTTTCAATGCAATCCATGCTGAGGTGTTATAAGCAGGACAAGTTAAGAGCTAGGGTCAGGGCTCTAGTCAAGCCCTTGTGAATGTACATAAGGACCTATTCTCTGTACAGAAGTGGGGTTTGAGTACAAGAAATTTGTTGACTTTCAGAGGAGCTTAAGCCAAGGAAGCCAGCAGCAGACACGCTTGTTTGCTTGCTAGCTCAGTTTAGTATCTGATCATGAAGATGAAGCTAAATATTAAACTTATGCTTTACAGAGTTCTGATAAGGTCAATGACTTATGCCTGTCCCACCTGGGAGTATGTGGCAGGTGCTCACCTCTTGAAATTGCAGCACCTGCAGAACAAGTGTACTCCTTGCTGTTTGGAAATCAACAGGGGCACACCGTCCACCAATTGCACATGGCTTTCAAAAGTATATATATGACTATATAACTAAATTTTATGGGACACGGGCACAAATAATCCTAAACCGTGTAAATCCAAATGTACATGGTATTGAACAAGGAGAAGCCAGGCGTAGGTGTAAGAGGCTTAAACTTGTCACCAATCAGGCCTACAACTGTTCAGCTGACTAAACTGCAGTTTCAGAGTATCTTCATGGGTTAAGGCATAATATGCTACACAGGACTTCATTAACGGGAAATTTGTATATACCTTGTGTGGTTGAGGGGCTATGCTACAAGCTGGAAGGTCGCGGGTTCAAGTCCCAATGAGGTCATTGGATTTTTTTAGTTGACCTAATCCTTCCAGCCGCATTAGGCCCTGGGGTTTACTCAGCCTCTTTACAGAAATGAGTACCAGAAATTAATTAATAATTTTCCTGGGCAGTAAAGCACGGTCAGCGCGTAAGGCTGTAAGAGTTCAATAATTCTAATCACCTGATAATATATATATATATATACACATCTATTGCACAGCATTCATAAAGTGAACTCATATAGGATGCATTGTATCTGCCCCTCTGTCTGTGAATGATTCATCACTGGATTGATTTTGATTAAATTTGACATTGAAAGACTACAGAAACTTGTAGGGCTGTATGGAAGTGAAGTTAGTACCTTTGACAAGTCCTTAGCACAGGATTGAAATTCACTCTTAAAAGCTAACAAGTCATATGCATGTGGCTTACCTCAGCCTGAAGTTGTCACTGCTCAAGGTATCATAGGTTGGCCAGTCTTCAGTACATGCTTGACAACTGCATTTGAACCAGTAACGAGAAGCAAGTGTTTTCTGCCGGAAGGCCAAGGGTCGCTTTGTGAAGGTTGGTCCATAGTTTTCTGACACACACTCTCCAGTTTCCAATGGACGTAGCGCTTGCAGTACAATATTCTTGCCCACGAAATACCTGTTCAAGAAACCACAGCAGTTTGGGCAGACTTTAGAAATCAAGATATGGAACTTGGAACATCAGACCACGTAAATAGGACATTCCACTTGCTTTCATGTTGGTATCTTGAACTGCTTATTCAACCCTGAAGATGGAAGCAGTGTCCCTCTGAAACACTGGTTGACTTTCACAGGACTACACAGGGTTATATTCCAGAAGATAGTTCTCTAGATGGAAAGAGTTTCTTGCTTGGTGATAGCACCGAAGCAACGGAAAGTCCAATAATACTGGAGCTATGCTCATGATCTTTCGGGTAGGCTAGCAAACTACGCAACATCACATCCCAGAAGTCTGATCTTAACACACTGCCAAAATGGTTTATTACTTAATTTGTTTTTTGATATAATTTACGTGAAGTCTGGTGCAGTAGGAAATGAGGCATTAAATCCCCACTTATGTACCTCTTTGTTCAGTTTAGACACAACTGTACTCCCGTGGGATATCAGTTCTGGTACTCGGAGAGAGAACCATGTAAGTTTCTATAATAGGTATTTATTGCTGTTAGAAAAGTGTACAGATGAGGAGAATGTGTGGTAACCGGCTTAGGGCCATAACTCTAAGGCAGGGCATGCGTGATAAATGTTGATGAAGAGTCAGTTGGAGCTTTCTGAATTTGAGTGTTATTCCTTCAGGAAAAGAGTTGATAGGTCTGCCTGTAAATGTGTAAAGTTGGCACTCACCTTGCAAGTGCAGGATGACAGTCATGGTTGAACATAGCAACTGTAGGATATATTCCAACACCCATAAAAAGGATTTTGGATCCTCGGAATTTATTTGGAGCCTCCATGCATGTTTCAAAAATCTCATGTGCATTGAACTGGAGTAGTTGCAGATGACGAAGAAGTAGAGAACCAATGAAGAGCTCATCAGGCCCCAGTGATTCTACTTTGAATAAAAATAAAATAATCAGCAGACTAATCCATGATTAAGTTCATATGGCAGGAATTTTGTATACAATGAGCATGACACAGTAGGTTTAGTGTGGCGGTAACTACATGCTTTTGACATTTAAACTCTGAATTTTGCCCGCACATTATTCATATGATTCTCAGAACAAACAGTGAGCAATTATGTAAGCAGCATTAATTGGCTTCCCTTTTTAATGGAGATTCAGTAAGTTTTCTCTGAGATATAAATTTAATTTGTAAATAATATTGAAACGAATTTTAGGCTTTAAAGGGTTTAGAACTTCTCAGTGGAAAGAAAGTTGCCAGTACTCATGTGATAAACATGAGAGGCAGGATGATTTGTAGTTTTGTGATAAAAACATAGAGTAAACATAAGAAAAATATAAACCTTTTTTCCATTTTTAGTAATATTCTTTAAGTTCGGGTTTTATGAGATGTGCCAAAATACCATGCCATAAGGTACCACAAAAATCAGCATTTCTTTTTATATGATTTTGATATCCTGAAGTTAAATAAATGGTTTAAATTACAAGTTAAAACATTATGTCACTTTTCAAATGAAGGTCTATATCAATGAAATGGAACATAAATTATTCTCTAAACTTTAGCTAATGAGGTATGGATCTTACTGTTGTCTGTCCTGGCTGGAAAAAAATGTGCTTCCTGCAGACAACGCAACAGAAACAGGGCCATTAAGGTCCTGTGCAGGAAGTCCTGTGCTGGACGATTGTCTGCATGGGTCACCAGGTTGTACACACTTCCATAGCTTCCTGGAGCCACAAAAGTACAGGATACAGTACAGTTGTGTATCATTCATGTGCATGTCAGCATCAAATGCTATTCATGTCTGTGTAAAATAGTCCTGAATTTATACCTCAGATGAGGTAAAAACAGGATAACATTTTTGTTATCTGTACTTTCAGAGCTTTGTACAAATGCAGAGAACTGATTTATATAATTTTTATCTACCCTTTGCAAAGAGTAAAAACTGTATACACTAAACATCAGGCAAATTTAATTGTGGTTTATATTAGTCCATAGTAGCTCCTGCTTTACATGGGACTAACTGGTTTTCTTGAAATGACCCATCTGACAAAGCAATTATGGGTGATATAATGCAAGGAGTGAGTGCAGTTGATAAAGCATTATATAATAAACCCAGGGGGAGGTGAGATGTGAGTTCAAACCCTTCTTGAAATATTGACTATAAGAAGAAAATACATTAATTTCTATGTGGACGCATTTAAACAATATGTTAAGGATTTTGGCATAAAGTGACCAACATGTATGTCAGTATGTAAGATTTGAGGCTTTCACGGCAGTGAAATATGTCAATATATGTCAGTAGCATTCTTTTTTGATCAATTCAACAAAATGTATTTTTTTATTGATTGGTTTTACAATACTAAAAAAAAAAAAAAAAGGAATTGTAGACATGTTATTTCTTGGGCAGTTCTTAGACTTGAGGAAGCATAGGTCACCTGGGTGTATGTTGGGTTGTGAAAAGGACTCATGCAGGGTATCCTTGATGTCCAAGAAGTGCTGTAGTCCAGACTGTGTTACCATCCTAAGTGCAAGATGGCACAGAATGCTCATGCCAGAGCCCACCAGAAGATCCATGTAGTGACACTCATAGCAGTGGTAAGAGCTAGTAGCCTGATCCCTGCATCTCACACTACAGAAAGCCACACCACTGCACTCTGGACAGCCCACTGGTGCCAGTAACCTGCAAGAGACAGTCACACCTTCACTTTTATTGATTGATTTGTTCATTCTTGGATTATTTAATGACACTTTCAACTGTGTAAGTTATGTTTTCATCTAATATTATTTCTGTTGTATGCAAGTCAGTGGTTAAGAAGTATCCAAACCCATCTCCTATATAGTTTTTATTTTTTTATTGCTAGTGGGGTGGGGCTAAGTCCCTTGTACTGCGGCCACTTCTGGCCTATTGTACCAGCACCATGTGATAGATGAGGGTGATTGTGAAGCAATTGGTAGAATAAAAGATTGGCAAGGGAAACTGAAGTACTCGGAGAAAACCTGCCCCAGCACCACTTTGTCCACCACAAATCCCACTTGACCAGACCCGGGTCCTATATAGTTTCTCATCAGCCTGTTCTTTCTTCTTGATGTCTTCTGGTACTTGGTTGAATTATCCTGTTATGGGTCATCCCATAGGTCTGGTTCCATTAAAATTTAATTCTGCTTGAGTTATGTAATGTCAAGTGGTGTGCTGATTGAGAATAATCAGTTTTGAAAGGATATAGTAGAAAATGGTTCAGGCCTGCTTGTACTGTCACTACATTTGTCTGGAGGGACTGAGAAAAACCACTGCAAAACATTGAGTTGGGTTAGCAGAGTCTAAGCAGAAGCTCAGATCCCAAATATGAACACTCTGACACCTAATTCCCTTAAATTCATCTTAATATTATTTCTGATTTACATAAGATCACCCCAAGTGGTCTTTTCCTTTTAGGTTTTGTGTGTGGTTTACTCATCCCTCATTGCTGAGGTTGTATAATATTAAATAACTATATGTCATGAAATGAAACTTTGGATGGTGATCTCTATGCATCAGATTTTTATTTGACAACCATGGCTCCCACCAGAATTTTTAATATTTGGCATATTTTCTTCTTCTTCAATTCGGATTGGCCTTTTTTAAATCTGGGGTTGGAGGTGGGGTTTACTCCCGGCACCCACGATTCATATAAGTTACCTGACAAAGCAGTTATGGCAGTGTGTTCCGAACATGTCTGGCAAGAGGCAGGCTGCATATGGCGGTTCCACCACAACTGTGTCCCCAGTGACAATGCGACCTGCGGCTACAGCGTACCGTCCCTGCTCGGGGCTGCAGGCAATTGTCACTAGGCGAGATGCAGCAGGCATGTTGGGGTTCTTCCCATGCCTAACACTGGGTACAGTGGGTCCTGCAAGAAAGCATGGCATGTACATGCCCTCTCCTCATACACATAAAAAAGTTGTCTCTGTGTTGAAATAATTAAGCGCTATGCCATGAAGACATTTGGGAGCTTAGATGTGTAGATCAAGTATTCTTGATCTCGGCACTAGTTGGAGGCGAGTGGTCAGCTACACGTCTCGGCTACTTTACCCCCGAAGAAAGAGCCCCCAGTACCGATTGGGTGGACCATACAGCCGGTCTTGGGAAAATCTCTTACCCTTTGAGGGAATAGGACCCCAGCCGTCCAGATCACATCCGTTGTCATACCGACTGAAGACTGTATTTTGATAAAAGGAATTGTAGCTAAATAATTTATTTACAGTTCACTTAAGGACGCTTTAAGTAATAAAGACCATAGCATCGAATGACTTGATGACAGTGAATAATGAATTGAAAAGGATGCAGAAGGAAACGATCGTGAATAATCTCAGGTACTATATCCGAATCTTCTAGGAGGGGCTGAGGGAAACTACGGAAACCTCAGGATATTTAGTGTCCCTGCCGAAATTCGACCCGTTACAGCTTGGGTCAGTTTACTCGGTTTAAATTGCAAAGACATTTTATATGACATGCTGGTAAGAATGTAATGTATGGCCGTGTATGGGGAAGTGCACAAACACGTTGAGTCTCGCCCTCGGCTGTAGTGTTTATGTTGTTTCCACCATTCCAAAGTGACGAGATGCAGTCAGCCGTTTGTTATATTCCAAAATTTACAGCATAACGTTGTAGTCGCCTCATGGTTGATGATACTTTTCTCATTATTCTGAAGTCCTTGGAATTTCTAGCCTCTAAACCATAGCTGATGCTGCTTATACACACAGTCTGTCCGACAGTGCTGATGCGGCCTCCTCGGTGTTATGAGGATACGAAGTTCGTTGTCAGCCATGCGTTTTGTGGAGTTACTATCGAGCCATATAATTAAAATCTAATGACTTCCCCACCATAAACATTCCTAAGATCAGCCATGAATAAACACTCTAATACATCTGCAGGATCATAAGGACTTCACTGGCTCGACACTATCAGCGTTCATCTCACGTAACAGTCAGGGTGTATTGATTATAATGTATTTTCTAACTCTTTCCATAAAATAAGGAGACAATGCAAATATATTTGTTTGTCTATATGAGTATTTTAATCTGCGGTCATGATAGTCTAAGGTACTGCCCCAACACTCAGCTGGCATGCCTGAAGAAAACTGCCATAAATATGCTTACGGAAAATCAGTCTCAAAGGAGAGATTAAAAGTCGGGGCCCCCTGAGCATGAGGAAAGACTACCAATTATTAACGAGGTTGGTACTCATTTATGGGGGAGTACAAGGGCTTACACCCCACTGAATTATCTGGTAGACGTGGAGGGAAATGCGCAATGATAAGACGACCAACTTCACATAAATAACGCAGTTGCAGCAGCGATTGCTGATCAGATCTTGCAGAAACACAACTGCACCTTCTGGAGGTACTAACAGTCACATTCTCAGTATCCTTTTCATTCCAAAGCACTGGATAAAGCAGGGCTTATAAATGTGGGTTCTTTTAGTCTGTTTTCAAAAGAGCCTCCCCCCACCCTTCGGAAAATGATACGCCACTGTACCTTTTGAGGGTGGTTCCTCCAGTTGCAGGGGTGCCTGCTCCATCTCCAGCTGCGAAACTTCATTCTGCAGCCGTACAGACGAAGCAATCGTCTCCAGTGGTCCGAGCTGATCCTTGTTTTCTTCCAGGAGCGTTAGTGCCAGTTGTAGGGACACCCGGGCTTTTGGGATCTGACCCAGCCCTCGGTAGCATCGCCCCATTCGCCAGTACAGTTCATATCTGGAGGGGCATCACAAAGACTGATTGTAAATTGGAGTGAAATTGAGTTATTTCTACCCTGAAGGCAGAGGCATTATGTTCCTCAAAAACGTTGGTAACAACTTAGGGGTCATAACTCAAAATACCACAGTCTAAGACTATATATATATGTGACTATTGTTTTCACTGTCTCATGCACGTGGTACCTGTAATAAAGTTTGTGATCGTGAAAAGAAAACTCGGTCTTCAAATTCTGGCTGATTTATACGTTTTCACCACTCATAAATGTGATAAAGTGAGAAATTGGTTTTGTGGAGTGCCATCTGTTAGCCTGTGTGTAATAGACGTGCGCCCCGCTAGCGCCCGAGCAAGTGGACGTCTTTGATTCGTGTTCAGTATGTAGGAGTTAATCTGTCCGTGATCCGTGAATGCGGATTTTGTAGCTTAAGAAATATGGTCTTTCATGTGCCCCGCTCCCAAGAAAAAATCGGGATTTCCCGAAAACGGCTTCAACGATTTTGATTAAATTTCAGTAGTTTGTGGCGATCGTGTCCCTAAATAAAACTGCATATGTGGTGTCTTTAAAAGAGACCACTGGGAAGACAAAGCCTAGGTGGGTGGACAATATTAAAATGGATCTTAGAGAGATAGGATGGGATGGTATGGATTGGATCGATCTGGCTCAGGATAGGGACCAGTGGAGGGTTTTTGTGAACACGGTAATGAACCTTAGAGTTCCATAAAACGCTTGGAAATTCTTGAGTGGCTGTAGAATTGGCTGCTCCTCTAGAAGGGCTCAGCTCCATGAGTAAGTAAGTAAGTTAGTATGTGGTGTCTTTGAAAAGATAACGTACTAGGAGCTCGAAAGCGAAATTTCGATTTTCTGGAAACCAGAAACAGTGATCTACTAACAAAAATCTATTTCGTTTCTTACGTAAAGTTGTCGAGATTAATCGTGTATGACAAAGTACGTGCAGCGTGTTTGCACCGATATTTTTTTACTGAAACTGTTGGCCTTGCCATAGATCAGGGGATTAGACGTAGGCTTCTTACTGCGGAGCTTCCAGTTCAGTCCTCACGGCTTCATGCGCAATTCTTGGCGGACGAAGTGACACTGGAGCAGGGTTTTCTTCTTCTTTCTCCGGATACCCTTTGCTAATAATTATCCTCCATTGCTTCACCGCCCTCTGGAGTTGTGCGCTAAACCTGACCAGGCAGCACGTTATCATCACATACTCGGTCCTTAAGTTAGGAGCTCCTCTGACGTCAGTACAGAGTAAGTTAACATTTTGTATTTACATTAAACTCTGTTATTATTTCTGATAAAGTTTCCAGATACTTGTTTTAATTATTTTAACCATGTCTATGTAGCTGAAAGCAGACCGGTGTACTGATGACGCTTCACCATGGGCACTCACTGGATAAAATCCTGCATGAACCCCAAAGACGTTCATTACCCTGCCGAGAATCGAACACCTGCCACCGGCTTAATAGCTGAGACATCCCTGCACGTGGCGAGCAGAGTTCTTATCCGAATGGGTATGAGGTAACTCACCTGCGGTGAGGGGGGAAGCCCTCTCGAATGGCGAGTTGAATGTCAGAGAGACATGCCTCGTTCTCTTCCAGCTGCAAGAGGCACTCGGAGCGCGTCGCCATACCCAGGGCAAGGCTCAGACCTCCGTCCACTCCCGGATCTGCCCCTATAAGCGTGTGTCTTAAGCTGCGATCGCATTGGTCTTAAAGCTATTAAATCATCCAGAACATATTTTACTTCGAGTTGAAATTAAAAAAAAATATAAATATTTTATTAATCTCACTTTATGTACACATGCGTAAGGTACATGTATAATTAATATGAGTTACCGACAATGCTGCCTGTGGTTCTGTATTGGTGTGAAAGTTGGTCTCTGACTTTAAGGGAGGAACATAGACTGAGGCTGTTTGAGAACATGATGTTGAGGAGAATATTTGGACTGAAGAGGGATGAAGTGACAGGAGGTTGGAGAAAACTGAATAATGAGCTTCATAACTTGTACTCTTCTCCAAGTATAATTAGAATGATCACGTCAAGGATGAGGTGGGCAAGGCATGTAGCACGAATGGGGGAAGCGAGGAATGCATATAGGATATTGGTGGGAAAGCCAGAAGGAAAGATACCACTGGGTAGACCAAGGAGTAGGTGGGTGGACAATATTAAAATGGATCTTAGAGAGATAGGATGGAATGGTGCGGACTGGATTGATCTGGCTCAGGATAGGGACCAGTGGAGAGCTCTTGTGAACACGGTAATGAACTTTCGGGTTCCATAAAATGCTGGGAAGTTCTTGAGTAGCTGCAGATTTGGTTTCTCCTCAAGAAATGCTCAGCTCCAAAAGTAAGTAAGTACCGGCAATGCTGTTAAATATACCGCAAAGGAATAGAAAATAAAATGCAAGCCTCTCACTACAGGACCGATCTGTTACCCACCTGTGGGTGGCGCGCGCATTATGGCGTGGTTACATAGCACCAGCGCTTCCCTGGGTTTACCCGCCTCCAGGTACCGTTCCGCGTCCTGCCTCTTCTGAAAGGATAATGGCGCGTTCTTTCTGCGGTAGAGCTCCTGCACGTTCTGCAAAACGCCATGCACGCAGTCACCCAGTTCGTGACAAGTTTTCAGCCGCTCTTCGTCCGTCTTGAGCCCCGCGAACTTTTTGGCAATCCATTCTGGGCCCACAGTGTCGGTCACTTGGTGAGCGAAGTCGAGGAAGAAGCCCTCCTCCTTGGACTGCAGGGTCACAGAACTGCACAGCTCTGTATAGGTCGGGTCCTGTTGCATCATCCTAGTGGCCGTGCCTGGTTACTGGAAACATAGGCAATGGGAAGGGGCTTGACGATTACTGTTTTATGAGATTTAATGTCATGTTGTCTGGTGGATATTAATGAGCATTTCAGAGGAACCTGCTGCAAGTAGGTAAAAAAAGGTAAAGCTATCCCTGTAACAGACCATGGAGGTCCATAGAGTTGTGAGACGTTGAGGGTCCCACATTGTCTAGACAATCGGCTCGTAAATGGCGGCAAGGTTGTCAGCCTTTACCCCCAGGAATATTCCTGGTACTCATTTCTGTTAGAGGCTAAGTCGACGCCAGGCCTATAGTGCGGCTGGAAGGATTAGGTCAATTGAAAATGTCCACCTCATCGGGACTCGAACCCGCGACCTTCCGGCTTGTAGCATGTTGCCTCAACCAACTACGCTACTGCGTGCTCCGTTGCGAGTAGAACCTCATCTTTTTACTATGTAGCTATAGCCAGCAGGTTCTTCCGAAACGTTAATAATTACCTATCTATACCAGGCTACATGGCATCACCTCCTAGCATACGGTAATCTGACTTCTGACTTCGATTGGTTACCACTCGATTTTATTGGCGGCGTGAGAGCACTCTGTGCGCATTTGTACAGTTTGGACACAGTCATGGGGATGAGAAAAATCCGTAACCTGCCGGGAATCGAACGTCGGTCATCCAGTCCCACTGCAGTGACTGAACTATGTAGAAAGTGATGATGCTGGTTTATGATAAGAAAAAAAAGAACTTACCTTGTGTTTCTTAAGAAATAGGCGGTGCTTCAGCCACGAAGCTCTGTGGAGCTCTCGTGACATGGCGCAGGTTTGTGGTGCGCTGGCTGACGCCTGGCAGTGGCCAGTTATGCCGGGGAACCGAGCGTCGCATTTAGCATCACGTGACCTTATTTACAGCCCCCAGCAGAGCCCGATCTCATTCGCAGTGGGAGTTGCGTTGAAGCAGTGCTTCTAGGTGTAGCAGTCCCAGACGTGCCTGTTGTGCCAGATCCTCATGGGCATGCAACACTAGTAGAATGATAATTATCAGGGGAAACCCGAAGTAATCGGAGATAAACCAATCCCATTGCCACTCTGCTCACCACAGATCCCGCATGGATTATTTAGTATGGAGCTTGGACCTCTGCAATGAGAATCTGGCACAAATTGCTTGGACTCTACTGTCTGTTTCTATCTTTGCAGGCTTTTTCTTCAAGTACCCTCTTGCTCTGTTACGTTGTTTTATCTGCTCAAAATAACACAGCTAAACAAAATTGAACCATTCATTTATTCATCAGTAATCTGTCAGACGACAGGTCCACAGTCTCTTCCAAAACAATTCCTCCACTTAATGCGGTCTAGAACGTTCTCCTTCAAATGAGAATATCCTCTTCTGTCCTCAAGGTCATCCAGCATCTTCTTACGTCTTCCTCGTCTTCTCGTTCGCATACATGGTGTCTCTGTTTTTGGAAAGAGACCATCCAGGAAAAGTGATAATTTGGTAGTTTTTCCATTTGCTTTCCACATCGCAGTACAACAGCCGTTCAAACCACTCTGGTCACGCCTGTTGCTATACGCACTTGAACCATCTCGGGCATCATTTGCTCTGTGCTTCAAGTGGCTGCTGATGACGCTGCTTCCGGCATCAGTTTTTGGTTTTTGGTGTCTCTCTTCGTCTGATGCCTACCCTTTGACCTGTCCAGCAAGGGAGACCCTGCCAGTAGCTACGCTATCGCTGGTATAGCTCTCAGGGTCCTTGGCATACTCAAACCCCCTCACCACTATAATGTGGAGACACCAACGAGGGGGTGAACCATATATGCCAGAATAATTGCCTCAGAATTGTCATAAATTTTCTGTAGTGACCGAGATGTGCACTTTATTATTAGTAACCTTAAAAGACGTAAAATTACCCTCCCTACCCCCGCCCCCCCTCACACAAACACAGACACACACGAAGTGTGGGCCCGACCGGGTTATCTCAAAAAGAACTGTCCCTAAAATCCGAATAATCACGATGTGTAACCCCAAATTGCTGGTTGACATCTTCCCAATAAATTACTGTACTGGGAGCTAAGTTTTGGCACTCCTACTCCTACCAGCAATCGAATCTCTTTTATCTAGCATATATCCTGGTCACAATATTGACTGTTGCCCAGCTTATTATGTACGTACGTATATGTAACACCCTTCTGTTTTCAGATTGGAGTTACAAGCTCCAAGGTCCCTCCGAAACGTTGGTACCTTTCTATAAGAATACACGTGTTATATCCCAAACAGTTGCTGGGTCCTGACAGAGTCATAGAAGATGTCGGCCTAGACAAAACAGTAACTCGTCCGTCGCGCTGTTTGCATTCTCCCGCAAGTTCTGCTCTTAAAATAGTACACTGCGGAGGGGAGCGTCTGATTTTTAGTTATTCAAGGACGACGTTTCAGCTGTGAAGCTTAGTCATGCCGCGAGAAACTCGCGATAAGTAATTAAAGCTATGAAAAATAAACGGAAGAATTTGTTAATTGTCTCCTTTCTTATGTCCCTGACGTTGTGTGTTGTACTGTATGGGTGGAGGTCTGCAGTATAGTCTCTTCTCCGTCTAATGAACGTACTGAACGTGTGAAATAGACACTTCTGCACTATCATCTAAACAGGCTAGAAAATATATTAACAACGTAACAGTTCTGGGTGCGTTCGCTTACTTCTATTTAGTTAGTTGTCTTACAGTAAGGCTGTGTTGGACGTGAAAATGCATGTTCAATATTTTCTACAATGAAATGTTAAGTTGGCCGGGCACGGTAGCCGAGCGGTCTAAGGCATATACTGTCTTCGCTCGCTTGGAAACCGGGATTGTGGGTTCGAATCCCACTCAGAGCATGGATATTTAGTTTGTGTGTGTGCGTTTTTCTGTGTTTGTGTACAGGTAGACGCTTTGCGACGAGCTGATCACCCGCCCAAAGAGTCCTGCCGCATTTGTCAGATCTAGAAAAACCGAAGTGAACGGAGAAGTTCATGGAGTTAGGCCTAGGCCCACTGGGGCTGTAGTGCCAAGGAGAAAAAAAGTGTTAAGTTACCGATGTCCAATTAGAACAAAAATTTAAGCGTATATATAAAATTTAATGACAGAGGGCTCGGTGTTCGAGTCTGGATAGGGTTCAGAATTTTCTCTTCTCCATATCGTGCAGACCGGCTCTTGGGTCCACACAACCTCCTATCCTTTCCCCAGGGCTAAAACGACCGGACCGTGAAGCTGACCACTCACCTCCAACTACTGCCAAGGTCAACTCTCCTATACGTCTTCATGGCGTAGTATTAATTAAATAAGCACAGGGAGAACTTTACAAACTTTACCTTTGTAGAACTGAGTAAAGATTTAAAATGCATTTCATTGTAATCTGATCGGAGTTATCCAAGATGTTACAAGCGAGCAAACATGATGAAGCTAATAGGCGCAATATTTGAAATCTCCGGCTATTGGCGTTTTTCGCTTTCACCTCACTTTTTCAACTCACGGAACACCAAACAAAGCGCTAAAGTTATCAAGGCTCCCCAACAATTTTTAAGAAGGGATTTTATCATTAAAAAAGAGTAATAACATTGTATTTAAAAGTTCAATAGGTAAAATTCTAATCGTTATGTCATTTTTAACGATAACGTTGATGATTTTTCTCCTTGTTCCTCAATTTTTTTTCTAGCTTTCTTTCGAACTTCCACCAAACACTCGCGGTACATCTGCAGACCCTTCGCGACACACCGGGTGAAAATTTGCTACTGTAGATTGTAGTAACTTTCCAATGATGACGCAACAACCTACGTCAAAGTGTAATGACTCATTCTAAAACATGTTTTAGACACAGATACTAAGAAGAAACTCAAAAATATTTTACTTCCATGCCTTCAAGGTTTCAGACACAGCAACAAGTTCTTATGTTTAACTTCAATAGAGGAACTGGTTCTAGGTAGATGTTTCTAACGTTCCTAACTATCGTTCACCGTTCATGCTTCGCATCCACGTGACAAGTCTACTCCTCCGATTCATATAAAAAACGTAAAGCTATCCCTGTAACAGGCCGTGGAGGCCTGTAGGGGTGTGAGACGTCAAGGCTCCCCACATTTTCTAGACAGTCGGTTCACAGATGGCGGTAAGGTTGTCAGTCCTACGCGCCGGCCGCCCTTTACCCCACAGGAAGATTCCTGGTACTCATTTCTGTTAGACGCTGAGTCATCCCAAGGGTTATAGTGTGGCTGGAAGGATTAGGCCAAATAAAAAATCGAATTACATCATCGGGAATCTAACCCGCGACCTTCCGACTTGTAGCTTCCGACTCGTAGCATGGTGTCTCAACCAACTACGCTACCACGTGCCCACCAGTTCATGTTTTTTTTTTCTCTGGCACTACAGCCCCAGTGGGCCTAGGCCTACCTCCACGAACTTCTCCATTCATTTCGGTTTTTCTAGATCTTACACATTTGGTAGGACTCCTTGGGCGGGTGATCAGCTCGTCACAAGGCCTCTACCTGTACACAAACACAGAAAAACGCACATTAACTAAACATCCATGCCCTGAGTGGGATTCGAACCCACGATCCCGGTTTCCAAGCGAGCGAAGACAGTACATGCCCCAGTTCATGTACCCCACTCTAATAGTCCTGTAGTAATGTTGCCGTGTTTTGTGGGTTTTCTTTCGATGTTCTCAGTATCGTACTCTATATAGCGCCGAATGGTAGGATGGTCTATGAATTAGAAATTGTTGTAAAGGAAGCGGATAGGGTATAATTGAGTTATTATCCTGAAATTTGCCTGGATGGGCTGAGGAAATCCACGGAAACCCTCAGCCAGGACAGGCATTGTCCTGTTCGAGGTTCGAACGGAGTACATTCAGAATGTAGATCTAAAGAGTTGCCGCTAGACCCACATGTACAGTCCATATTGTAATATTGTCATTACTGTAGTGTGTAGCTCAATCGGTTTAGTGACTTTGTATGAGCTCGATGTCCTATTTCATTTCCGGCAGGGGCAGAAATGTTTCTCTACTCTGCAGAGTCCAGACTGGCTTTGGGGCCCATGCAGCCCCCTTTCCAGTGAATCCCGGGGCTCTTTCTCTGGAAGAAGAGCTCCCGAGTTGTGGAACTGACTACTTACTTGAATCTAATTTCGAGATTAAATATGTGTGGAGCTATGCCTCCATTCTCCTGTCCTCAGCCCCTTTACCCCCATGGAATGAGTCCCAGGTACCCGTTGGATAGGAGGCTTGGTGGGCCCCAGAGGTGGTCTGGACCACGTGGAGAAAATTCTTGACCCTAACAGGACTCGAACTCCGACCCCTCGATCCCCAAGCCCGTAGCCAGTCGCTATACCGACTGCGCTATCCCGGCTCCCTCCAATACGTCTTCACGGCGTGAATACTTAGTTACAAATTAAGCCAGGCTTGTGGAATTCGTGTAGTAGCTATGACGAACCTGTTTATTTATGACTTATAGTCAGGAGTTATCTCATTCATACCTAGGCTCGGTAATCGACCATCCTGACTAAGAATTTCCGCAGTTCTTCTCAATTTCATAATGCAGGGCTAATTCCGTTAAATACCCACGACCACTTCCTTTCAAATCCACATCTTCAACATTCATGATCTCTTCTCTGTGGTTATCGGTTACGTACACTCATATACGAGTATGAAGTATTATACAGTAATACTTGATTACAAAGAATCCTTAGAGAAATAAACATGTGTTTAATTTAAGTTAGTTTTCATTAACGGCCGTGGGGATCCGTTGCGCTGACCACGCGACAGCCTCTATCCGCAAAAGTTGGCACTTCGCCGACAAGCGGCGGGCACTCGGTCGGTATAGTTCACTTGCGGACTACAGGTCACGGGATTTTTTTGTTTTGTTTTGTTATTCATCTTGACATAAGGCAAATGGAAGTATATTATGTAAAATGTATCCCAAACCACATGTTAGAAAATCATGTCGCATACCTACACTAAATTATTATTGGGTTGTAGGCTATAAATTGACCGCATCTGTGGTCTAGTGGTCAGAGTTCCCGGCTAAAGATCCAGAGGTCCGAGTTCGATTCCCGGTGCTACCAAAATTTCTGAGAAGTAGTGGGTCTGAAACGGGGTCTACTCAGCCTCGTGAGGATAATTGAAGAGTTATTTCAAGGAACTAGCGGCTCCTGTCTAGAAAACCGAAATTAACGGCCGTGGGGATTCGTTGTGCTGACCACGCGACACCCTCTATCCACTAAAGTTGGCACTAACTTCGCCGACAAAAGGCGATCGCTCGGTCGGTATAGTTCGCTTGCGTACTAAAACCACGGAGTTTGTTTCTTTGTTTTTTTTTTCGTAGGCTATATATTTTCATTTTACATCTTTCATCAGAGCGAACGTTGGCTTCTTATGCAGGCCTCTGTTCGATGTAGTGTCTATTTTTTCTTTCTTTATCCAGCAGCTCAGTAAAAATTTCCTGCGCTTACTTTGTTAGTCGTTTGGCTTAATTCTTTCAATTTACGACCGAAATATTTCTCTTGAGCCGCCGCATGAAACAAAAGTACAAATATCCCAGCAAACTACTTCGCCATAAACTTTATATATATTTACCTTTTGATATATAGGCATACCATATTGTGTTTTCTTGGTACCAGATATGTTCTCGAATAAAAGCAGGTTATATTTAGAAAAGTTTACTGTAGACTTATTTGTAGAGCCAAGAATGTAATTTACTTGCCCTGTGCAAATTCACACTTTCACATGTCGAGTTTATACTCATGTTCAGCCTTGAAACTCCTCTGTCCCTGTTACAAAACAAAGAAAGATGATTATCACGTGACACTCCCCGCATAAGAGCAAGATGGAGTATGATGTCATGTTTTTACTTCTGATTTCTGAAGTACGTACATCGCCCATTTCTTTCTCATAAATTCGATCACCCTCATGAGAATGATTAATACAATTCGTGAATCTCTTCCTGATGCAGTTTTCCCCGTCCTCCCCTCAGTTCGTATCACTTAGGCGTACTTTAAATCTTCTCTTCTGCACCCTGTTTTGAAACACCCTTAATCTCTGTACTTCCCTTAGGATGAGAAACTAAGTTTCATAACCAGACGAAGGACAGGCAGATTTATAATTTTCCTGGTTTTAATCTTCGAGTTTTCAGGTAGCACAAAAGAAGACAAAAGTTTCTGAACTGAATGGTGAGAAATATTCCTCGACTATGTATATATTTAAAGCCGGTCACGGTAGCCGAGCGGTCTAAGGCATGCACTGTTTTCGCTCGCTCGGAAGCCGGGATCGTGGGTTCGAATCCCACTCAGGGCATGGATGTTTGTGTGCGTTTTTCTGTGTTTGTCTACAGATAGAGGTCTCGCGACGAGCTGATCACTCGCCCAAGGAGTCCTACCGTATATGTAAGATCTAGAAAAACCGAAGTGAACGGAGTTCATGGAGGTAGGCCTAGGCCCACTGGGGCTGTAGTGCCAAGGAAAAAAAAAAGTTGTCCCTGGGCCAAATTAATTAAGCACTAGGCCACGAAGACATATGAGGGAGTGGAGGTACAACTCCATCTTTCTTAACCTCGGCACTAGATGGAGGTGGGTGTTCAGCTTCACGCCCTATCCGTTTTACCCCAGAAAAAAACATTACCAATTGAATAGGAGGCTAGGTGGACCCCAGAGCCCGTCTGGACGCTGTGGAGTATAGATAAATCTCTTGCTATGCCGGAAATCGAGCCCTGGACTTCCAGTCCGTAGCCTGTCATTATACCAACTGAGCTATTCAGCTCCCTATATATTTTATACTATTCATGTACGTCAGATACTAACAGGGAGCTGATATAACTCAGTCGGTACAGCANCCCGGTTACGGACTGGACGAGAGAGGGTTCCGAGTTCGAGTCTCGATGGGGGCAAGAATATTATCTCCTCCAAATGGTCCAGACTGGCCCTGGGGTCCACCCAGCCTCCTATCCAATGGGTACCGGGAGCTCTTTCCCCTCGGGTAAAGCGGCAGGAGCGTGAAACTAACCACTCACCTCCAACTAGTGCCGATGTCAAGAAAACGTGGGTCTGTACATCCACTCCCCCATACGTCTTCAAGGCGTAGTGCTTAATTAGTTAAGCACAGGGACAAATTTACGTTTTTTTGCCAGATACTAATAACTGGTGTTCCCCTAACCACTAATCTATGCATGGAAGTTTCTGCCCATTTGGACTTAGAGGCCTAACTATAGTATAGCCTTATATGTAGTTATCGTGTCTGTGCTAAAGCTAGGAATTTGTATATGCAAGACCTATAAAAACAAAAACAAGCAGAATTGTTTCGGAAACCTTTATTATAAACACAGTAATAATAATAATAATAATAATAATAATAATAATAATAATAATAATACAATAACAACGTTTTGTTCCCACGGAATGTTTATGTGGCAAGAGAACCAGAGGTCACGTGTTTCAGCATGTGGCTGCAATCTTACTATTTAAACAGAAATCCTGCAATTGAACGCAGTTATTATTTCATTCTATTTTTATAGCACACAAATTAGTATATGTAACCTGATTTAATGTCAAAAAAATTCTTCATTTTGCTCACAAAATATATTTATATATTTCGTGTGATTCTCAGAATAAATACTATTTTCCTAAACAGCATTAACCGCTTGATCTTTGTAAAGAAGACACAGCGATTTGTGCGAATTTTTAAAATAGTATGTATAGAAGGATTTCAGGCTTCGAAGGTTTAATTACACAGACTTCGCAGTGAGACATGGAGCTTTGCTAAAGTTCCAAATCACTGATCCAATAGCAAACTTCCTCACGTGTTCTTTAGTCTGTGATTACAATACTGATATCAATGCTGGATAATAAGAACAGTAATACGGTATACGAATTACGACAGCTTCACACGAAAGTTCGGCCCTCAGGGCCACCACGGCTAGTAGATAGTATTTATCAGAGCCTAGCCAACGCCAGCTAGAGATGTGCTGGTTAACAATCCTGCTTATATCCCGTAGGTCTCGGTTTTAATTTTCAACCTATCCTGACAGATGTACTTTGTGATTCTTCTACAGCCCTTCTAGCCGAATTCTGGGATAGTACGTTAAAATTAACGATTGCATAATTCTAAGTCTTTTCCAGATCATCATTCACATGACTGGTATATAAAAAATGCAGTAAAGGAAGCGCCGTTAATTAAATTAATAAACATATTGTGACGAATATGACCATTTCTAAGCAACGGTTTGGTAAACATCATCTGAAAGCCGGAATAGCAACGAGCAGAAGAGGAAGATCCATTTGCTAGGCAACGGTTCGGTAACACACGTTCCCGTAGCAACAAGCCAGTCCATTGCTAGCCAATGGCTCCATCCTCCTCCGTGACCCTGCTTGTCGTAGGAGGCGATGAAAAGGGAAGTCTCAAATCTGAGACAGTAAAATATGGTCGCAAGTCCAAAAGACAGACAGCTGAGTCTGAAACACGTGGCCTCTGGCAATTTCAGGTTTACGATTCTGATTGCACTGACAATGTCACATGAGCAAATGTGTATATTATCACCTCTCCCAATACTGATCAATTTACTAAGTACTGGACGGAATGTATTCTTGCACGTTGCACCGTGGCTTCAGTCTCTTATTTACAGAGATCCCCTTCCCCCACCTGCATCTGCGCCAAAAGCACGCTGAGTTCTCGTCACGAAATTGTCATATTCTCCGGTTAATCACTGGAAAGTAAAAGTGCACATGCTCTGTCACGCGGTAGTTGTGTTGGATATCTGCGACTCACTGTCGGATATATATTTAATACACACAAGTTGTGCTGAGACAGTTACTGAATTCAGGAATGACTTGTGTGCGGGAATGCGCTGTGCTGAGACAGTTACTGAATTCGGGAATGACTTGTGTGCGGGAATTCGCTGTGCTGAGATAGTTACTGAATTCAGGAATTACTTATGTGCGGGAATTCTCCGTGCTGAGACAGTTACTGAATTCAGGAATGGCTTGTGTGCGGGAATGCGCTGTGCTGATACAGTTACTGTATTTCAGAACCATTCTTTTTCAGCAAGCTGCTGTGCTGGGACATTTCTTGGATTGTGGAAAGCTTTGTGTCCAGGAATCCAGTTTGCTGGACTGTCTAGGAAGTTCAGAATTTGTGTTCAAGAATCCACCGTGCTGGCACAGTTTCTGAATTCAGGAATAGCTTGTGTTCAGAAATCATTTGTCCTTTGATATTCTGGAGCCAATGGATTCCTTGTGCACTGGTTCCAGTGAGTCAGGGGATCTCTTGTACAGTCCCTGTGCTCTGGGTTCCACGGTCTCACAGGAACCCTGTGTTCAGGTACCGCGTTCAAAAGGAGCTCTCCTGGCGCCTACTGACAGGAGTTGTTTCTGGCGGATTATTCTCGAACACTGGTGACGGGGTTAGGGCCGGATTGTCGTAAGCGCCGTACTCCAGTGTGGGGTCTTCCTTGGGGTACCGTGGGCGCGTGCTTAGAGGAGTAGACGTAGTGGCCGGCGTTACCGGGGCCGCCGCCGGCGCTGTCGCCGTCGTGGTGCTGGGAGGCGGAACAGTCGCAGGCATGTCCAGCTTGAGCGGCTCCGTCTTGTAGCTCACCTTCCCGTTGTTCGTACCATTTGACTGCAACACAAGCACAAAGGAATTTTAGAACTAGAAGTAACGGACGACTCAAGCCGCGCCATAGCTCAAGCAGTTAGCCGCTGGCTTCCCACCCGGGTCTGGTCAAGTGGGATTTGTGGTGGACAAAGTGGCTCTGGGGCTGGTTTTCTCCGCGTACTTCGGTTTCCCCTGCCAATCTTCATTCCACCAAATTCTCCATAATCATAATAACCCGGGGCAAGCTATGATAGGCCAATCAGTGGCCGCCGTGAGGACCCATTTGGGCTCCACCCCCCTAAGCGAATTTAAAAAAATAAAACGGACGACTGGAATATTTACTACACTCTACAAGAGAACCGGGCCCTAGTCTCAGTCCGAGGAATTTCGCCACGATCCAGAAACCAAATTTCATCTACTTCCACCCACCTACACCATTTATCTCATATGGTTTAGAAGTTGTCAGTTTGTCTAATTATTATATATTTTAACATCATTGCAGAAGGCAACTTTGGGGCGATGGAAGGAAATGGGCCATAAGTTCTTTTTCAAAACCTTTGGTTTTAATAACCTGCTAAACCTCGACCTTTGAAGGTGAGCTGACAGTGATAGGGTTAGTTTTGTTACCTGGATGTAGACCGGTGACTGCTTATTCTTCCGCTTTCTGTCACAGAAGAACAGAGTGAGCGTGCCTATCAGCACCAGGAGTACTAACATCGATATGACTAGCGTTAGAATCACCAGAACCGTCAGTCGTGCCACCTCACCTGCGAACATTTACAAACTTCCATTAGTAATATCGCATTTCCTGTCATATACTGCCCATTTCTATTTACTGAAAAGACCTTCATACTCGAGGTCTCATTAAACTGGGTGAAATGAGGTTGTTATATTTATTCCAGAGAAGTCATGTTTCAGTACAAATATTTACATCGTCTCTGAAAGCCACACGCTGTTGCATTGTTCTCAGTTTTGATTTTCTATAGTAACGATCTGGACAGAAGTTCTGTTCTACAAATTGTTATGGTCCTGCATACTCTGGTATCACCGTTATTCATCACAACTCAGAACTTCGCAACACCACCGTATTTATTCTATGTACAGAATAGGGCTACAGCCCCAAAGAATACTGAAAAGTCATGAAATAACCTCCATTTTCAGAAGGTAATAATCGATCAGATTATCAAGAAATTTCCCTCCTATTTTCCTTTTAGCCGGTCACGGTAGCCGAACGGTCTAAGGCATGTACTGTCTTCGCTCGCTTGGAAACCAGGATCGTGGGTTCGAATCCCACTCAGGGCATGGATATTTGTGTGCGTCTTTCTGTGTTTGTGTACAGGTAGAGGCCTTGCGACGAGCTGATCACCCGCCCAGGGAGTCCTACCGAACGTGTAAGATCTAGAAAAACCCAAGTGAACGGAGAAGTTCATGGAGGTAGGCCTAGGCCCACTGGGGCTGTAGTGCTAAGGAAAAAAAAAATCCTTTTGTCTCCTCCGTACGTGCTACATTCCGAGTTAGGATCGAGACTGTAGAGTGTCTACATCGAGCTCTGAGTATCCTTTAGATTACTGAGCTGAGATGTAGAGTTTCTCTTCAGATTTCATAATCTTTAAGGAATGCATCCTGTTGTGTTATTCTATATACAATCTTCGTTTTGTTTCCAGCTCAGCAGAGAGTCATTAGAGAGACCAATAAACTCATTATACACAGTGAAATGCGAATGAGACTCTAATGATTGTTGTGTTGAGACAGAAACAAAACGACGAATTTCTCCTCAGCTCTCCATTATAAAATAAATATTGAATAGTATCTAGAGCTCATTTTCCGTCCATAATCAGAAATCGGACTTGAGAAATTATGGGTAATGTGTCTTGTCCTTATTTTTAAAATTTTAACTTAACGGTTAGCCACATCTTCGAGTTTAACTTCAAGGCGAAACGGAGAGTGGATGATGAATTTGTTTTGTAGTATGTAGCCCCACAGGACAAATTCTGTTCCTTTTCGACTGGCTGTCGTTTATGACCGAGACGTGGCTCATGAACCGTTGGTTATACGTTGTTTTTGTACTCACTTCTGACGTCATCCCCTGCAGCTTCCTCCTGCCTCATCACATACCATTTGTCGTGTATGTAATCTGAAATAAAAATGAAACAGAAATTGGGATGGGAACTTTAACAGTGCGAAAAGCAACGAGTTAACATGACTGACTGATGCCTGGACTACTTTTTTTTTACTCCAATAATTATACAATCTATCCATTAAGTGTGGATAATAAGTACATTTTGTGGTTTACATATAGAAAAGGAAAGAGAACTTGTCGTGGTGAGCATGTTCCAATGAACATGCTCAATACTTATTTTAACTGCTTAGTGATATGCAGTTAAGTGTTGAATTATTCAAATCTGGTGGGTAAATCTGAAGGTTTAAATCTGTTTAACCTCCTGATTTCTCCTTCGTCGTCGAGCAGTTTTTGTGCCAAGTCGTTCGGATGGGCCTGGAGTCTGATTTTATACTTTTTGCT